CGCTGCATATTTATTTCGGTATATCCGGTGCTGCAGTTTATTTTTTCGCCTGTTTTTTTTTTCTGTTCCTTATTTACGCCTTGTAGATACCGTAGTTGACTGGCGGACGCGCAGACAGCCTGGGCTGTGTGAATTAATGATCGTTTTCGAATTCAGCGGGCCAAAACACAGCGCGCAGCGTCTTGAGTTGTGCGCGCTGGTTCTTTGTTTGCGAAATTGCACTCGCTGCACACTGGATGCACTTTGTTCCGGCGCGCGGAATTATTATGCACCCGGGCACGCAATTTACATCGCATCAATCATACACGAGATAAACGATAGTGTTCAGCTGCTTACGAAATTTGATGTGTTTAACGTTGTTTTTCTTCGATAATTTTTATGTTTTGCATAAAAGGCATATTGAATGTATTTATATATTTGAGGGCTTAATTTTGAATCGTGCTGCACCTGCAGTTTTGCTGTTCTGCATATTTTGAAGATTGTTGAGGGAATAATGCCTAGCATTCAAATGTTATTTTTGTTTCAACTCTCAAATATCAATTTTTATCTTTATTGTTACTGCAAGCTGCGGTAACACATCGCATAAAGCAGTTTCTTAAAAATTTTGCAAACTGCTATATCAGCTTTTGATTGTCGCGGCTGTAAAATAATACTTTTGAACGTTTTCAAGTATCAACAAACTTAGTAATCGTAGTTAAGAAAAAAAAAGATAAGTTATAAACAGATTTCTCAAAATTTTAAAACAAAAAGATAAAAATTTAATGCGTATAAAATTTGCTACGTAATAGGTAATACCCCGCTTGTTCTCTATTATTAATTTGTTGGCAGTATTTATTTTTCTACATTTTGCGTGACTCTAAGCGCAATAGGTCTAAAATGAGGGAATATGCTTGGTGCATGACTTTCCTCTCCTCCTGCTAGTCCCGACTGCCCGGTTTACTCATAATAATAATACACAAATATCTAAATTTAGCGCGCCGAACGTAAACAGGCAACGCGCGAATGTAAACTCTGATGGCTGCCAGGCGCGCGTTTTTAATTTTACATTACTCGCGCCACTCAGGCCAACCCCCACGGTATTTCGTATCACAAACTGTCGCACATTCTGCGTCGTAACATGTAAAGTTTTGCTTGGATCTAATATAAACAAAATCATATTACTGCTAGAGCAGGAAACTTACAGTGTTGGATTAATGATTAATAATAATTTAGAAAAATTAAAATTAATTTTGTTTCATAAATTTAAACTAATAGTTTTTAGTTTTTGGTTTTTGATGTGAAAATCAATGAAATAGGTTATGATACTAGCGCCATCTCTGGGTTTCATTTGTAAATGCGTGCATTTGGTGCAATTGAAGTTAATGGTCGCGTGTGTGTTCTTGTTTTGTTTCAAATGCACGTTTCGAAACGGTGTGACGGCGGCGTTATTTATAAGCCGCGTCCGCCGCCCATCCATCCTGCGAATTGCGCATACTTTATGCATTTTTTGGCACCAAGTGCACACGCGGTTCTGCTCGAGTATGTACCTCGCCTTTCATACTGTCAGGGCTGAATGAAACGCTTTTAATAATTTAGAAATTTTCGCCGATTTCGAATATATTTTCGGTAGCGCAAGTCTGCAGACAATCCTGCAGCTGTATGGATTATTTTCTGGCGGGCGTGCGTCGTGCGCGGTGAAGGTTCCCCGCTCGCAGTTGCAACGATCGGCGGCGGCTGTGGCGGCGGCGGCGGCGTCGCGTTCTCTTGGCGCTGGACCAAAACGTGACGTCACGTCGTACACAGATCGATGTTGGCGTGTTCGCCGTGCGCCGCGTGCTGCACGTAGTAGTTACACCCACGTCCGAGCGAAACATATACCAATTTATTATTTCAGTTTTAATCAGTGGCGAATTTTCAACGTGTCATTGTTTCCAGGTGACTGACTGTTGATGCACACACGCGGAAATTTTACGCTCGCGTGAATCCCGTCAAAGTATTCTTTTTGTTTTTCTTGGAATATCAACGAATCTTTATGCTACGAATATTTGCATAATACACGCATGGCGAGCTGTGATTCATATCACTTTTGAATTAATTCCGCATGTCGTTTTCAGCTCAATTACCGCGTGAAACTTAAAAACACTTTAAATTGTGCTCCACATTGAAATATTTATAAAAATTAAAATTAATATTACGTCTACATGTGTGTATTTATTGTTTACGCTGGAAGACGTCCTTGGATCGCGCAATCAAAAGCCGCACGCAATAAATTATATCTGAAACAATCGCGTATCGTGGCAAAATAAAACAATTGACTTGTGCGCCCGACTATGGAGATATCAATTTGCATATTGTTTATCGTAGATGTTTTTATCGGCTCGATAAACGCACTAAAATTAAATTTATCACAGAACCCTATCGATAATTGTTATCGACTCGACTGGAAAGATCAAAAATCCAATAATTTCATCATGCGACAATGTAACTTCTATGGATTTTTACGAATAAAATTTAATTTTTAACAGATGGCGTTGCTGTAAAATGACGTCATGTTGATTCATGATTTTTTTTTGCAATAAGCTAATAATAGAATATCTATAAACGACCTTCTCGCATAATACACACGCAATGTTTGGTACGTTTGTTTATGCATGGCATTGCGGGGACGACAATTGCGAATTATTGCGAGAATCTATAATTTCGTGCGGCATCGACGAGTCGAGGACGTTACGCTGGTGACGTTTTCGCTGCGAGGCACGTAATCTTGTCGCATTGTCACTTTAGTCGTTGTTTTTTCGACTCGCTCGATAGCGATTGTTTATCGACACTTTATTTTGGTGCTTATATTACGCCAGTAATTACTTTTATCAAATCAATTATATCATTCACTTTTGATTTCGCTGTTTTAACGGTTAAATCATTTTTCTTGTCGCTAAGTGTGTGAATGGGCAAAATGTTAATTTTCTAGTCATTCTTTCGAAGTTTATGAGTTGGATTTGTTAGTAAACTTATAAAACTCGCCACGTTTGTCAGTTTAGAAACATTTGACTTTATACAATCATGAATAACGCCGGCGTATGAATAATACTCGGGATAACAATGCGGTATAATGTTACAATGCATTATTATTAGCCGCGTAACCATGGAATGTTGGTGATAAGTGATAAGGGGCGTACGTGGCCGATTATTATTATCGATACGAATAACTTGTATTCGTTTGCGTCGACTGAATATAATGCCTCGCTTATTCAGTTCACACTCAACCAAACACAACGTTTTTATGATGATTGAAAACTGTTTAATTAAAAATGTTTATTCAACTTCACACGAGTTGAACGCTTACTTCCTAATATTATCGGTTTAAACTGAAAATATTAACGTTTGTTTTGGCATCAAGTGAAATGCTTGCAAAAGCTGCACATAAGTGTTTCTTAAAATTGGAAAATGCGTTTTAGAGCACAAGTTTATAGTGTTAACTTCCTGTGTTCGAGCCGGTTTCCGTTTTGAACAACTCACGATCGTTTGAGTAGAAGCTGAAATATCGGCGTGGTCGTTGCCACGTTGAGCGTGTTGGCCCGATCTATTCCTGGTCCACTCGACTTGGTACCATGTATATTTACACGTGCTAGAATCTGATCCAACTGAATTCTCTCTTGTTTATTTACCTTACATTAACTGTTTAACACGACTCCATGCGGTGGTAAAAGCGTTGAGACAAAAAATCTAAGAGTTTTCTATTTATAAAATGTATTTATTAAAATAATTTTGTGATTTTCTTGGATTTTACAATTTTGTATGCGAGTTTTACATGTTTCGCCCTGTGGGCATCATCAAAAAACTCAGTTTTAAAATCCAAGAAAATCACAAAATTATTTTAATAAATACATTTTATAAACCATGGATTACGTATTCAACTTAGAAAATAATAAAGTTTTCTATTTCTAGAAATTTTAGGTTGCATTAAAGTAGTACTTGTCTTTTAGTTTAAAATCAACCACCAGAGGGCTATAACTAAATTAATTTCATATTCAATGTGAAAAACATCAATTATTTGTTAAAAAACGTAGGTCTTGTTCACGTGTCGACTTTTTAGATTATCGTTAGTATGCTAACTATTTTTCCTGTTTTTGTCAGCGTGTGTATTTAAAACATGTCAAAATAATGACTGTGTCAATATTTGATAGTGTTTTCTGGCGCATGCGGTGCATTTTAGTCACTCGACCGAGACTGTAATCAATTTGGATCAATTGACCGCGCGCGTCTGGGTTCACCAATAAAATTAAATTCGTATTATTTATCCGCTAGACTTAATAACATATCCTAAATACTGTTTCTTAACACTTTTAGTAAATTACAAAACAGTAAATTGTAATTTTACTATTACTACGTGGTAGTTATGACTGTGACTTATTTATGAGTTTTCGTGATGTTTCTAGATTTCGATTTGATGCACTCGCTAAGAACTAAGTGCCTAAACGCTTAACTCGTGCATAACTAACCGAGTAATCACATCTAATGTGCGGTAGTCATTTTCGATTGTAAAAACATCCAGAAAGTCATTGAGAAAATATTCCATGACGTTCCACAGGGACAGCGGGACGAGAATTGTAAAATGATATCAGAATTATTATTGCTTCATGCGTCGTTGAACGCGTTGAATTTATTCTCAACTCTCTTGGCGCGCTTTGTTTACTGCTTACGCATTCAAAACTGTATGCTTTGGTGTTCTGTAAGCGTTTCATTGTTCTTGCGGAAGAGTTGCTGTGTTGCTGACTGAAAAAGAAGAATGCGTTTGTGTGCGTTTCGTAGGCGAGCTTTGTTCGGCCGTAGTCGAGCGGGTTAATGTGCCGCTCTTTGACTAAGGTCGCGGAATAGTGCCGCTCGCCATGATGCGTCCTACTAGTAGGTACCACTACCACTACAACGCGTTAGAAGAGAGCTTGGAGCTTGCGTCGGCATGCGTCTTTGATTACGTTAACGTTTCGCCTGTTTTTGAAGGCACCGTGGCTCAAAGAGAAAGCTTTTGTGCAGATGGAAACATCAGAAACCGCAAACTCTTCATTAACTTTTTTTAACTTGTAAAAAAGTTAGGTTAGTTTAGTGTAAATATACAGCAGATGCAGATAATAATGGTAGAACTGTCTCTTATCATATTTACACCTGTTATCACTTAGCAATGACGCAATTATTGAACATCAATGTTGCAACTGGCAAATCTTGAGTTTGTTGAACATGTCGCAATTTTTTTTCGAGTTTAATACTTGAAAAACTATGAAAAACTGTCAATTTGACACTTGAAACGCAGCCATTTTGTTCTGACATGCGCAGTGAATGAAACTATGACTTATTGAGTTTAAACATCCAAAATATTGTTATTTAATGCCTTAATGAACTCTAATTATGAATTTACTATTTGTTTCGTGTATTGTAGCCCCTGAAGTTAGTTTGTTGAATGTTTCAGCAACATGACTGTCATCTGTGTGAGTGTTTCACTGCTTTGTTCTAACAGATTATTTATGTACTAGATGCAGTTTGTGCATGCGGTGTAATGCTGGTTGCTCATGGCTAGGAGGGTCCGACCTCTCTTCCCACTCTGTGACTATCCGGCCCGACCCCGGCGATCGATAACTGCGCGTTCACTGCACCCTCGCCGGCGAGCGTCGCGCGGCGCGCTGATGCTTGATCTCGTATCGACCCGACGCGTCTGCGAATGCACTGACTGCATGACTTCAATTTGATATCGTTTTTATTTTTACTCGTTCGCCTGCGGATGCTGGACTTTGAGATGAGTGCGCATGATGTGGGCACCCACATGGCCAAACTGTTGTTTGTTAACCACCACTGGTAACCGACTTTCATTCCTCTGCTAAAAACGGTTCGTTTTTTCGTCTGCCAGCGATTAGTATTGCTTGTTTACGTCGCCAGTGAATGCATCGGTCATCACATCCAGAGCGCTTTTTTCTCTATATTCGGATGCGTGTGCGCGTCTGTTTACTTAACACACATTCGGGGTCAGAACGAAATCAAAACTCGGATACTGTGACATGAATATTATAAATTTTGACGAAACCGGACCGTAGTGATAAGACGGTACACATTCTGTTGCCGAGTTGTATGGAAATGTTTACTAACTGAGAGAAGCCTATCACCCTTGACTGCAGAGAGCAGAGCAGAGTTGTTACGTCAATTGTTAAAACATGTCCGTGAAGCGCTCGTGATGTGACGTGAGTGGTGGCACGAATGAATCACGTGTCTCTGAGACAATACAATCAACCTAAATGAGAGATTATTTTAGTTACAAGCAGCCGGCTGCTTTTTTCATATCAACTTATGTTGTGGGTTTTGCAGTGGTCTAAAAATGTCAACCGATGCATATATTGGTACAACTGATAAGTTGTTATCACTGCCAGCCACGACTTCGACGGCTGATAACTACTCCAATTCTAATTCCAAGTCCAATATGTAAACTAATATCTATATACTTTTACGTGTGCGCTGTGATACCTTATCACTGTTGTTGAATAAATGAACGAGTTGACTCGGTTTGGGGCAAAAATCTACGGTGGCATGCAATAAATGGGGCATTCCGTGCTTTTTCAAACATGATGCGTGTATTTTTACACGCTGTTATCGGCGAACGCTCCACTTTCGTGTGCATGGTGGCGGCGGCGGCGGCGGTGGTGGGCTTGTTGCGTCACATTGCATGATGCTCAACCGCTGGTATTGATCCGAGGAAGCGGCGAGTGCGGAGCTTACGTCGTGTCCCGGGCGGCGGTAACGGCGGCGGCGGCGGTGAAAGCACTCCTCCCACCCGCACCCAAACACAAAAACTGCCCGTGTAACTGCTGCGGCTGTGTTTATACGGAATTTACTATGTTGGTCATGCCGGACATGGGATATGCGTCATCTCGAATGTTCTTGAACTTCATTTGCAGAATTTTGACAGATGTAAAACTGAAAATGATGAGATGGCAAATTATAATGTGTTAAGAACTGTGATATAACTCTCCGGTTGTTGGTTTTGACAATTGTCATGTATAAGGTCGTTTGAAGGACTTGATTGTTGTGCGTGGTGTGTTGTAACGGTATGACCTGGTGAGATGAGGTGTTAAAATTTCGGTGCATCTTCTGTCCGCCATGTTGTGATGCATGCCGAGTAAAGTAAAGATCGAGGTCACAATTAACGGTGACAATTATGCGCTCGCTGGCTACCTGCGCCGAATTGCGGCAACGCGCAACGTGTCAACAGACCCCACGCTGTCGATAGTTGGCTGGCTGGCTCTGCTGGCTGGTGCTGGGAACAACTCTCGACACGACGACGACGCGCTGCGCGCGTTTTCGTTTCGTTTCGTTTGCTTATTGCTTACACGATTACGTTTCGGCATGCAGCGGACGACCGAGTGAGCGCGCGCGCGCGTTGGCACGATGCGTGACGTCGCTCATGTTGCCATTGGTCTGCGGTACATCATGACGTCACGACCGGCGATAATGATTATTGTGGCGGCACGTCCGTAGTCGCCGTAGTGCGCGTTGCGCCGCCAGCACTGCGCTTGTCTCTCTCCCACCTTCATCCTCGCTGACGTCTGACTCGGTCGGTTGGAGCCGCGGCTGCTGCCGCTGCGATATTTGTTGCCGACGAACCGTTTCTACGGTTTCGGCGTGCGGTGTGCGCAGTTGCCTGTTTTGTTTGAGCCTGTGAGCGCGCCAGTGTTTTCAGTCAGTAGCACACGCCTGCGTTGATCGCACGTCCCGCGCTCATGCTCGTATTTAGTGCAGTGGAGCCGCTGCGCCGAGTGCCGACTAGTGCATCGTGATGAACATCCTAAACGGATGAGCTAAATTATGTGAGTGCAGTGTACCACAGCCGTTCCTACGACACATAAGGGCTTTTTAGTTCGATTTATTGGATTATTACATTACATTTGGATTATTAGATATTGTGCCCCAGTAGTGCGTGCGCGTTGTGTGTTTGGTATCTTCTAGCGTGAAAACTGATGGTGAAAATGTCGGTGATGCAAATGCAGCAGGCTAAGCGGCAGCAGTGCTATCTGTGCGACCTGCCCCGCATGCCGTGGGCGATGGTGCACGATTTCTCGGAGGCGGTGTGCCGCGGTTGTGTGAATTACGAGGGCGCCGATCGTATTGAGATCGTGCTGGAAACAGCAAGGCAGATGAAACGCGCCCACGGTTTTCAGGAGCAACGCTCCGCACACAGCTCCAAGAGTCACAGAACCTCCAGCAGTGGACATGAGCATCAGAACGGGGATGTAGCGACATCAAGTCGCCAGCAACAACAGACAGCGGCCGCGGCTGCAGCAGCTGCGGGGGCGCATCACACTGGAACCTACACCATGCAGCATACCAGACCCGGCATGTTGACCGAGTATCAAACAGCACCGCTTCGAGGTAGCTCAATGTCACGGCCTGGTCTGCAGGAAGCCACACGAGAGGATCACGAAGCGATGGTGGCTAGGACAACAGTGCGGATACCCAGTCATCTGCCGGCTGGCGCACATCATCCAATGCAAGCTCATCATCATTCGGCGAGTAGTGGAAGACCAGCTAACCTTCAGGGATTAAAGCGTGGCTTGTCCACAACTGAGGAAGACGAACACCATGGGCATCATGGTCATACAAACGGCGAGGTGAACGGCGGCTCGAAACGCATGATGTCCGTTGAGGAACACAGCGCTGCCGTCACTGTACGACCACCCTTAACTCGTGGAGAGTCACTACCAGCAGTCTCCCTGGCGCAGACGTTCAGCGTCACAGCCGAACGCAACTTCAAGCAGGAGAAACTACGAACGGGTTTGTTTGATGCGGCCGCCTCGTTTAAACCCAATGGTGAGATAAGAAACTATTCGGAGATTGGTCAGAGTTTTAAAAGAGAGTCGGAAGAGTGTTTGCGCTTAGTTGGTTATGCATCCGGTTCAATGGGCGGGCGCCGAATCTGTGACGTAATGTTTATTTTCGTATGCGTTATCGTTTACACTAGTCGCGTTGAGAGCGCGCGCGGCCGCAACTGTACAGAAAATAAAACCAGTTGTGTGTGCGGCGAATTAACGGATTCATTCTGCCGTTGAGCAGATGACGACGCGCAACGGCAAATTATTTATAACTATGAATAATAATTATTCACCATTGCTCATTAGTGTGTGCGAGCGCAGAAAAAGTAAAACTTCTGTTTTGGTTGTTTGGAGGAGGACTACGTGATGTTGGTGGTGGTGGTTTGGTTTCGTAATGTTTTATTTTTGCACGGTCGGCTGGTTTCGGCGTGTGTGTGTGTATGCGCGCCGTCGTCTGTCATCGTCACTCGCGCGTTGCGTGTGCTCTGCTGAGCCCACGTTTCAACCGGTTTCGGTTCCTACGTCGGCTACGTCACACACAACACCAGCCGTGTGATGCCCGATCGACCCGAGTGTGGCGCGCAGCAGCACAGCTTTCACAAGAGAATTATATTCGTGCCGGTTTCGAAAACGAGCGAGTCGCTTTTCGAAAAGCGTCTACCTGGTCCCGCTGGCCCCCTTTCGGAAGGTACCGTTAGTCGGGTACAGCCGCAGCGCACAGGTGGTGTCGCCGGCTCGCAGAGAGAAAGAATATCTCGTTTTTGTTTCGACATTTAAAAATAAAAGGGTTTTTAATTCTCTTACTCGATAGTTTTTACTCTTTGCTGGCCTGGCGGCCGGCTGGTTGTGTTCGGTTGGCACAAACAAAAGAAATCATCGGTGGTAGTCAAACCAGTCGCGCGCGCGCCTTGCGCTTGCGCTCGTCGTCGTCTGCACATGATGGCCTTGATCCTACAAGAACTTTCTCACGGTCTAGGATCACTGCCCTGTTGCCTTGCACGTTTGCGCTTTTGCCATCCACCATCAACAACTACACTTACATCCTGGGATGCGTTCTCGTCGCGCCAACAATCGCATTGATTCACATTTCTCAGAGTGTAAACAATGCAAGCACACTCCCATTGTGTTTTGTGTGTGGTGTTGACGCTTGCAGTCTCACAGTCTGGGAACGGGTTGGATTTTTTTCCGATGGGAAACTGAATTTTTCACCGAAAATTATCGAATTACCCTCGGTGCGTGTGTTGAGTTTTAACTTTTCTTGTAGAAGCATACACTTGAGTTGACTGGCAGCTGGTTGATTTTATCCGCGAGGCTTTTGTTGTTAATTTCATGACAACCAGCTGGAACGGAAGGAAATAGATAATAACACGACTTGGAAGACGCTCGCGCGCGCGCGCATGTGTGCGAACATCAACGGTATTTTGCACCTGTTTTTTTATTTCTTTAGGTCAAACGGGCAGGATCATTAAGGAAACCAGCCGTGCCCGTATACGATGCGTCCAATCATTGCTCATCGTTTGATTATCCGCGAACACGCACGCCGTAATTTATATATACACACCTGCTCGGTGTGCACACATTTTAAATTAAACAATGCTCAGTCAGTAATGACTTATGCGTTGTGTGCATTTTGTTTTCTTGGAATGCGTGCGCATGCACAATGCAGTGCATTAGTTGGCGTAGGTCGTGGGTGCATATTCGATTTCGTTCTTGGAATGAATGGGTTGTACACGTCGCGTTATGCAACAGCCTAGTAGAACCGCGTGCGCGCGCGCGCACACGCTCTTCTTGCGCACGCCGATTTCGATTTCTTTGCGTGCGGGCGCGCGCGTAATAAAAGTTTATAATTACGCGGCTCTGGGAGTGGCTTGTCGAGCCATCAGGCAACGCCGCATGACTAGGAGACGGCCGTAATATTTCCGTTGCCGTTAAAAATACACGCCGAGTGCGCGGCGCGCCGTACAGAGCGAAAAACTCGTCGTGGTCACATTCCACGCGCGTTGCGCCGACGGCCGCCAGCAGGCGCTGGCTAAAATTATACACACTGCGTGCACGACGCGCGCGTTCCTGCTACGTCACCGAATTGCATATCGAGGTCGCGCGAATGTATGACGAACGTGGTGCGCGCACTCGCGCCCGATACGCTCTCCGACACTCTGATTGACTCTCTGACTGGGTGGAGATTGAACGATTGTTGGTTTTAATGTGTTGTAATGGCATTTTTAGGATACACCGCCGTCGTTTCGGTGGCGAATGCGACTGCGAACGGTACAAACACCGGGTCTCCGTTAAACAGCAGGACGAGTTCACCGCCGGAGGCCAACGCGACCTCAGGTGCCACCCAACCACAACAAGCCTCTTCGGCATCAGGCCAAAGTCCAATGGCGGCTCTCATATCTGTTGCAGACAACCTGCCCTCTGGCAGTCCGCGCTCCGCCGGCGGCAGCCCGCCTAGCAGCGCCGTTGCGCCACGCTCCGCTTCGCGTGGCTCCCAGCACTCGCCCAACTCTTCGGCGGGTTCGTCCAGCAGCCGGCGTTCCTCCGGCTCGCGGCACGTCTCTTCTACAACTGTTACCTCTTCGGAGGCGGGTGCTACTGGTACACTGGGTGCGGCTCCCGAAGCTCTTCCCTCGAACGGTACCGAGACTGCTACGCCCCCGGCGGCTGCCGCCAACACACTACGCTGTACCATTTGTCAGGAACGCCTCGAGGATACGCACTTTGTGCAGTGTCCCTCGGTGCAGCAGCACAAGTTCTGTTTTCCGTGCAGCCGCAACAGCATCAAGCATCAGGGCGCAGGCCAGGAGGTAAGACCATCCGCCAGCCACGCCACCAAGCCAGCGGAAGGTACTAAGGCAATTGTGTTGCAGGTGTACTGCCCCAGCGGCGAGAAATGCCCGCTCGCTAACTCGAACGTGCCGTGGGCGTTCATGCAGAACGAGATCCAGACGATCCTCGGCGAGGACTTTAAGGTCAAAAAGGAACGCGAGACTTAACCGCTCGGCGTTGGCGCGTTGAATTGGATTCGCAGTTTGCTCGCGGCATCGTGAGCGCTCGCGCGCATACACGCACCTCCTCTTTCTGCGAATTGGGGGAGGAGCGTGCAAATCATTGGAAAGTTGGCGAATGTTAGTGATACACGACGATGGCGTTGTGATGCTGGATCGGGAACGCGATGATGAGGCTGTGTCGAAAATGGAAATATTATTTAATTGACGGCATGAAATGTGCCGATTGTACAAACAGATTTTACCGAATTAAAAGAAAAACATAACAAGGCTAACTATCGCCGAAATCAATAATGTACATAAACGACATTGTTGGGGCAACGAGTGGATTCTTTGCATTCTCACACTATAATCACTTCCCACATTGTAGCGTCCTGTTTTTTTTTTATATATTAACGAAAAGAAGGCAGAAATATATATATATGTGTATATATATATCTATATATACAGTAATGCAATCTGGCTTCACATTCGACATCTGCGTTTGCAGGTGTAATATTTGTATTGCGCGCAAATTTGTATGTGTAATTAGAAACAACTTGTGCACGTTCGCGTGCAATTTGTCTAAATACGAACAATTAATAACGATGGCATATTTGTAAATATGTAAATATTCGATCGAAGCGGTCAAATGGTTAAGAATTAAGTTTGCGATGCGTATGTGAGAGAATGAGGAAAGGAGACAACTGGAGGATAAAAGCGAACCGCTGAGTTGTTGTAATTTCACTTTATTTTACAAAGATGAAGTTATGTCGAGTCCATTTGATGTATTTTTCACTTGAGCTGTAAATATTGTATATTCATCAGCCGAATGTTTTATTTGATTTGTTTTTTTGTAATGTTACGATTAAAATGCGAAATCAACAAGTTTCTTTTAGGTGTTTTTAAAATCATCGGCATGGCAAAGACCTAGTCTTAGCTCAACGCCATTATTTTTTGCTTTTTAATTCATTTGTTACATTGAGAAACGAAGATATTTAATTATTGTGTACTTTGAAAGTAAACCTAGTCAAGAAGAAAAAAATCACATGAAGTTTGCAGACTTCATCATAGGAACTCCAAAACTCGCTGGTAAATTATAAGTGAACAAAAAAAAAACGAAGTAATAACTTTCATTGAGTAAAAGTGAAAATTAAAACAAACTATTCTTAATTGTATGATGTTTATCCACCCCGAACCTATTCCCCAAATGGCGACATATGATAATGGCGGAGGCAGTGTCATATATATATCAAGGTCTACTAATAAATGGTATATAAAACTCTAGTGTGTAAAATTGTTTAGATACATGCTGCATATTTAAACATTGTCTATGCTTCGTAACCGACGGTACAGTCTCTTGATATTTGTCAAACAACCAACACGATGTTATACATATGTGATGATTAAAACAATTTGTACAAAATAATAAAAAAGAAAACAAACGAAACGTAATGATTTTAGATAAAAAAAATTTGTTAACGATCGTGTGGCGAAAGACAGAAAACTTTTTTGTGTACAGACCTTGTATGTATCAATAATATAAAAAGTAGATGAAAAACTGACTATGTTTATTGCAGATAGCTCACATCCACAATTTGTTACTGGTTGCTTTGATATAGATTTGTGTTTTTTGTTGCAGATTAAATTCTCTTGCTGAAAATGAAGTTTTACCGTTAAATAACTATCAAGAAGTGCCTCGTGGGCTTAAAAATAAACATTTTCACATCTCAAGAAGACCAACTAATGAGTATTTTAAGAAGTTGTTGGTAGCTGTTCCAGGGACTAAGTATACTCCTGTCGTACGCACACCAAGCGAAGAATACCTCAGAACAATTTCTGAACGTACCGAAATCGATTTAACCAATGATTTATTTGTTTGTAATGTCAATACTGAATCTATTAATGCTGCAAATAATATTAAAAGTGTTCCTGCAAAAGAATGTCGTGGAAAAGCTGCAGAAACCAAAACAATTCGTGAATTACCAAAACGAGTAAAGGATTGTAAGGTATCAACTAAAATGAAACTTAAAGAAATTCCTGTGATGAAAACAAAGCAGACTTCTCCTAATCCTACTTCCGTTTGTTGTAAAAATAACAAGTCGATAAAATATACCCCGGTGAAAAGACAACAAGTTACTAAAAAAAGCAAGTCAAAAACACAATTAACTGCTGGAAACAAGGAAGAATCAAATAAGAAGAAAGGTTTGCATGGACCATGCGTAAAACCAACGTCATTGTCGCCTATATCTGAGTCTGTTCCATCAGTTGTGAAAAATGTGAAAAGGCCTTGCTTAAATAAGTTGTCTTGCACGAAAACATCCAAAAGAAATCCGAATGTTAAGGCTTCCTGGAAAAGTGCACCGCCGAGTGATAATATCGTGTTACCTAAAACAAATAATGAAAGTAATGAGGTTTTGCCAAAAGCTAAACAGACTGCAGGAATTCAGAAGTCTGCATCGAAATGTTCATTGAAAAAAGGTCAAGATTGCAATATATTGTGTAACAATGGCGCATGTTGTTCTGAGGGTGATCCTGAAATGAAGGGGCAAATGGAAATCGTATCGCCACAGTTTGCGACTTTGAGACCTCCACATGACATTGTAGAAATAGCTAAAAATGCAATGCAAAATATTGACTTTTTGTCCATTACCGATAGCTGCAATCATTTGCAGTTTACCTATGTTGATCCTAATTCCATTATTCAACCAACTAAAGTAGAGGTTTACATTGCCAAACTCGATATTACAACAAATGCAGTTGTTAATACTGACTGTAACAGTCGTAGTTACTCTTTAGACATTAAAGAGAGTGATTGTCCAAAATCAATCAGTCCTTGTAACAATGCAAAGCCTGATAAAATTTTTGATAGTGACAAACACATGGTGGATAAGTTTGTCATTCATACAATGTCCTGCGTTTGTATTGATAGCACTTTACCAGTCCCAAACGTTCAGAGAGCTCAGTCAAACAATTGCAAGAAAACTGAATTAATGACTGATCAGTATGATAATCTAGATGAAATTGATACGAGCATTAGTCACAGTTATCATCCAAGTTTAACTCATTCCGAAGCTTGTGTTATAAAAGTTATGCGGTACTTGAAAACTAGAGTAAATCATTGCCACCACAAGAAAGAACAATCAAAAATATGCGCACCAAGACAGGACACCGATAAATCGCAACAGATTTTAACTGTTCAATCTGCCCTACATGCTATTGAGCCTGTTTTAGTGACAGATATTCCTTCTAATATAGCATGTCCTAGTTGTGCGGATATCAATATGGCTAATTTGGAACGTGGGGACACTGGAGGGCAATGTTGTGAAGGTAATAACAAGAAGAGGAAAACTAAATGTGGATTTGACATACAATATAATAGCCAAGATTTTCAGAGCACGAATGTACATATTTCTGAATCAGATAAAACTAATAGTTCAGGCTCAAGCGAAAATTCATGCCCAGACAAGAATGATAAACTAGTAACTGTAAATTGTTATAACAAAAGATTTTCTCAAGTCACAAGTACTTTCAAAAAAGCACCAGTGTCTCTAAAGAAATTCTGCTGCTTCAAAGTTAATTCTGAAGAAATTTGCAGTACCGATGAAAGTAGCATCGACTTGCAACCTGTAAATTTACCCAATTGTGCTATGAATGACTCGAAGTATACTAGTGTCAGTCAAAGATTTTCTGGAAATGCTGTGTTGGATGACCATAGTTCACCGTTTCCTAAGCGCCAATGTTTCACATTTCGGGATATATCTACACAAGTTGATATTTTGGATACAGAGGATTTGGATAAGTCATGTTTATGTATTTTGGAACCTGAATCCCCGCAAAAATGCACGAGTACGTCGGTAAATGATTTACTAAAACCAGGAACAAGTCAATGTGAAGTAGAAGATGTCGCCGTTGACGTAGATACTCATGAAACCCCGAAAGATACAACAACGAAAATTAAATTTCAACACACACTTAACAAAAAGGGAAGTAGAAGACCTGGAGATAGGAATTCTGAACCAGAGAGACGAAAAAATATTAAATCGCAAAAGCTTAATGAGAACATTAAAAATTACACGTTGAAATGTTGTTCAAGCGACGAAGTGGTTGGTAAGAGGGTGTGTGAAGGTTCAACGAGCAGCGGAAAGATTTGTGATATTAAGGCAGCAACAAGAAAACAAATTAAGAACTTGAAGATGAGACGGGACATTGGAAAGCCCGTGGCAGGTCCACATTAGCGAATATAACGATAAATTGTAAATTATTGGAATAAATAAAAATAATTATTATTTTGAAAGCAATTTGTATACGCCTCGATTATAAATTGTGACATTACCAAAATAATTATTAATAATAAGATATTTTCTAATATTTAGTGTTTTTGTTGCAGATGGCATATTTCTAATGATATGAAACCATCCGATGACGTAAGCGCCAGTGAAAAAGAAGTTTTGCCAACTTGGAAAGAATCAATTCAAAAAAATCTCTCCACACAAATTCCTAGCAAAAATTTTAAAGAATATTCAAAGCATAGCGAGACAGACCTAACAAATAAAGCTTCCAATGTTAATTCAATACTCACAAAAAATAGTACAGGCTATTATTCCATCTCAAGACCGTCCAGCGAGGAAAAACTTAAAAAAGTGTTTAATTACCCCAGCACCCAAACAAGTCAAACTACTTTAAGGGAATCTATGCGCAGTTACAACACCTACAAAGAAGACCAAGAGTCCCAACAACTTAGTTATAGACCACTTGCTGCTGAATCATCTAATCTTCTAAGCATAAATCAACCTAATGAAATCTCCAAAGGTAAAGTGAAAAATTCGTTTGCCGTTTCCCTTCGAAGTAATAATAGTAATAAAGCTATAAAATACACACCTCCGAAGAGGATTTCTGTTAGAAGTGATAAGTCAAGACCTTCTGGAGCTAAGCGTGTATCAGGTTTTACGAGGGAATCCATAGCATCAGATGGAACTCGTTATAAATCTACTAATTTGTCTACTGTACTAGAATCGGAGCCGTCATGGCGAAAATCTACAAATGCATCAAGTCTTATTCCTCGTGACTCTATTCCTAATAATCCAAGGAAATCACAGGATAATAGGAATAGCTATCGATCTTCGCGCATCTCAAAAGATCTCCAATCTATTAAAAATGCGCAAAACCCAAGTTTGAGAGGTGAAAGTATTTCGAGCAAAAGGAATACCGTGAATTCAAATACTTATAAAAATATTTACCCAGAATCCAGTAAACAAAAGAATATTGATAAAACAAGAAAAAGGTCAACAGGAGCAAGTATAGCAACGCAAGGATTATCAACTGATATTACAAAGGATACAAAAGACGTTTTGAATAAATTTGACTCTTTGACGATCACAGATAGCCAAAATCACTTACAATTTCGCTGTACTAATCCTAAAACTGTTATACAACCAACCAAAGTAGAAGTTTTTATGGCCAAGAATGATACAGCAACGAACGCGAATTTTAAATGTCATCATTATCAAAATTTGGTTTTTCCGAACAAGTGTCAAGGTGTGATACAACCCAGCTGTCCGTGCTGGATGGGCCATAGAACAGTCGCCGCATGTTGCAAGTGTAACTGTATAAAGACAGCAGCCACTGAAACACTTACTGAGACAGGTCCTGACAGAGTTACTGAGACAGGCACTGAGAAAAATACAACGCTCATTGATAAAGAAGTAGAAGTAGATGTTGAATGCAATAACATGAAGTTACAGAAATTGGTCGTTCAAACAATGCCGGGCATTTCTATAGACTCATGTGTTGACAAGTCTGTTTATGAAGACAAGAAAGAGTCCGATGAAGGTCCCACACAAGAAATGGTTTATAATCAAATGACTACTGAATTACCTGTTGATATTAATCCTGTTAGTAATAATTCAGGATGTTTCCCACGTAGGAAAAGCAAATCAATCAAAGGATCAGAGGAGAAAGAAATAGAAAAGATATTTGCTAAAGAGGACTGTTGCAAATCGCAGCAGACAAAAATATTAACAGTGGACAGAGCTAACAGTCCTGTAATTCTAGAAACTTACACAGAGTCGTATTCAACAGTTGAAAAACCAATAGTTGATCGTATTTCAGTAGTTAGTGTATCTTCTAAGAGAATAAGCAAACAGCCATCGACAATTTTAAAACAAAAACAAAGCAATATATTTAATTCAACAAATAACATTTTGGATGGCGAAGGTACCCAAACGGAAATCTCACAAAGAAAGGTTTATATAAGCGACTACGTTCAAGAGAATGAATGCATACCAAACATTACATGCGATTCTTGTCAGAAATTTGAAATGGATAGAAAGAAGCGTGATTCTGGTTGTTGTAGTTATACCACTAAAATCAAACGTGATCCTGTGTCAAAAAAATGGTATAGACGCAAACATTGCAGAAATCAAGGTTGTTGTGTTAGAAGAAGCAAAGATTTCAGTTGTCCTAGCAATAACTGCCGCCATGAAGATTCTAGAGAATGTTATCATGTTGATGACTTATCCTCAGAACCAACAACTAGTGTCAAGGAAGAAGTAGTTCGACATAAAAAGAATAAAGTACCTGAGACACCAGAGGTGAATGGCTGTTGCCATTGCTGCAAGCGGAAAAAGAAAATGTGTAAGAATGAAAATTGTACGAGTGACAAATGCAGAATCAAACTTATACAAACTACTGATACTCATCACTATGAAATTGTTAAAGGAGCTAGTAATCCTCATATTTCAAACGAAGTTACAAAGGCAATTGAAGCTCGGGCGAGTCGTATTTCAGAAAATAAAGTTTGTAATTTTACAGTTCCAGAAACTGAAAGATATTCGGAATTATATCAGTGTCATACAGTTCCATTAAGGGTTAATTTTTCCAAACAAGCAAATATTGCACAATGGCCTGAATTATCACAAAATGATACTTCTTCAAATAAATCCTGGCAATCCAAAACACCAGCACTGCCTGTGAGAGCCAACAAAAGGAGTTGTATAAGAGTTGCTCATTGTGCCATTGATAATAATCCGCTGTTTCCGAATTTAAATTCAGAGTTTTCTGATTTGAAAAGTTTAGATAGTATAACAATACCAGAACCTTTAGATGATTTCATGGTTGTACGAGATGTATCAACTCAAGTAGAACTTAAAGGATCAAAAGACCCTAAGTTATCTTGTATACAACCTCCAATTATTCACAAATCAGAAATGCCAATTCAAAAAAAAATTGCCTGAGGCTACTGTGGTCGATTCTTTCGATGATTTTTTGAAAACTATTCCCCAACATCAAGAAGCACCTGATATTGAAACCATAATGCCATATAGACAAGAATATACTGAAAAACTGCAAGAAGATCGAATGAAAAGGAAGAAGAATAAAAGTTTTTCGAAGAAAAAACCTTTTTTTGATTGGAAGATCATGAGAAAGAAAAAAGTTAAAACACCGATAAAAAAAGACTCAAATTATAAAATCAAAGACACTGTGGATCAGATATTATCTGAAGGAGAGGCAGAATGCAACTGCTCGATAAGCATTGGAGAAATACACGCGTGTAAAACAACTATCAACGATCAGAAAATGACATCTAAGAATGAAAATGAAGAACAAATCCACGTGGCAGCCACAAACCGTCGATATTTCAACAAAAACATAGTCTCTTATTACATTTCAAGATCTTCCAATGACTCTACCAACAATTAAACTTCAATCAAATATTTCCGAAATAAAATAACATCCAACTCATTCCAATATTTTCAATTCATTTATTTATAATAAGAATAGGTTCTTAAGCATTGAGTACTAATAAAATTATAACAAAATCTAACAGTTTCACCACTCGCTGTGAATACGCATATATTGCTCGCTTTTATAACATTTTTGTGCTAAACTCTTTCTTATATACAATAAATTAAATATGCGTTATTGGCTAATAGCGTAGTCAACACAACCAGCTTCAAAATGTTTTATACACAATTGCGATACGTTTTGCTTGCTTCCTTTTTCAGGTTCACAGTTTTATCGAAATCACACGCAAAGACATTCATAGGTATTAATATTGTTTGGTTTGTTATTTTGTAGATACATGTATTGTGTAGGCACAATTTATTTATTATTTTTTTATATCCTTGGAGTGTGCTAAAACTAAAAGTAATATTTTCTTGCTAAAAATTTCGATTATATATCTTGTTTAACACATGTACATCTTCATTTAGTTAAGTTTTAGTTTATCTGCTTTTGCATTTTTCATATTTACAAATGCCTGATGATAGTTATTGCTATATAACTAACTATATATTATAAAGTCAACAACTAAATGAATGACGTTAAAGAAAATATGTTCAATGAGTTAGAAAACTCATTGAAGACACTATATATCTTGACTTTACAACATTTACAAATTGGGTTAGTTTTAAGTGTTAACAAAATGGATGATATGTTAGAAATTAATTTTTGTCAGGTTTACATTCCAGGGTAAACATGATGATATTATTCTACGGTCCTTGCTGAATGCGGAGAGTTGATCCTCGTCGTCGGATTCGATGACGTTCGAGTCGTAATCTGTAATACTGTCATTTGCATTCTGGTTGGATTGGTCGCATCATTTAGGTCTGGGCGGAGGCGGCGGTGCCCCAGTGCTCACAGACCCTTGCCGGTGCGGTACCGGCGGTGGGACGTTCGGCCTGCTCGTGAGAACCTTGCCGGGAGGTGGTGCTGGAGGTTGGACACCCGGTGGCAGTGCGGGTGGCGGGTATGCAGGAGGTCCGCCAACCGGGGTGACCGTACCTGGTTCGGGACTCACTGGGATTTGCATCGTTGCCATGTCAAACTCAGTTCTAACATCACCTCTCAGCTTATCCGCATCGGCGAGCAATTCGGGTTCTTCTTGTGTCGTCGCCAGTGGTTCCGGAGCAGTGGTAACCTGTACGTCCAGACTAGGTGGGGGTTTTGGGAGTTGGAACTTCTTATCTGAACCAGCTGCTACGTAGGAGAAGACGCAGAGGACTGCGTAGCAGATCTGATCAGCCTAGAGATAGAAATATTGATAACGTGGATTAATTTGTTGCTGGTATTGGTGGAGTGGCTGATACTGGTGTAACTGATGATGGTGCACCTGGGGTGGTTTGTGAGAGGACCAGCCATTGGGCCAAGTGTATTGAAAAAATCCGATGGAAAGAAAAAATCATCTGGCTTGTCTAAAATTATTGCAGGCACATGCAAATAAAATGAAAATTTAAATAAAACAAAATCAAATGAAACCCACACTTAATCTTATCACAGCCACAGACTTACCATTGAAGATTTATATCTTCTTTGAATAACTTGTCTGGTTTTTGGATCTAAATAATAAAAATTCAATTAATCAATCAAAATCAACATTTTTGATTTGTTACTTACTAAATTCTTCCAAAACAAAAATGCCACCCTTTTGTGTAAAGCATTTCCGAATGTGATCGATGCGCACGAAGAACTGAAAATCAACTCAGATTAATAACACATTTCAAAATACTCTGAAAGTAGTCGGTACAGGTTACACATATTTTATTCGTCTACGTGAGGTGACTAGATGATGTGAACAAAGCAACAACATGCAGATTTATGCAGCAAGCAGATACTCAACTCTCATCGTCAAATCATCGTCGATAACTAAGTTCAAATCCAAGCATGCAATATAGATATATGTGTGAAAGAAGCGTACATTTAAATAGTAAAGGTTTAGGCAACTTCAGAGATGGTTTGCTCAATGTATTAGTTCATATAGTATTAATGGTCAATTATTTTTTTAAAGAGAAATATCCAAATCAAACATCAGGTTTTCAGTTTCAGGTTTTGGCGAATTATTTGGTTCATTTTTAAGATTTTGGATTCAATTGTTTGTGATGTGTGTGGTGTGAATGTTGTGTGTCTGTCTGTCTGTATATTCATCGAAATTCGTTCGAAATTAAATTTTTAACATGCTTGAATGTGTGTGGTGTGAAAGCAACTACAAAGCTAGAACTAAGTCACTATTGAAAGTTAAGCCACGTTTAAACTAGTGTGTAGTTAAAGAAATTGAAAACAAAATCAATCAAAAAAACAAAGCTTGGTGTATTTTGAGTGTTCTGTGTGTAGGTGTAAAGTGTTGATAACAACTACGAATACAAAAATAAACGCCTAAAATCAATGAGAACAATAAATCACTAGGAAGCTGTTCTAATACGATATAATGGGCATCTATTGAAAAACAGGGGTGACAATATCTAAACAGAAATCATATGGTTCGCTGATAAAATCAAACATAATCATTAGAGAGATAAATGGACGAACGAGCGCAAAGAAAACAATCTAACGATGGTATCATATCAAAAGTCGCAAAATTTTCGATTGTTTTTTTTCTCTTATTCCTTCATCAACAGGTCGAATCGTAATATTAATCAGTACCTCAAAGTCCTGCAAGATCGTCAAGCGTTTCAGGCCAGCGCGCGCATGAGAGCAGCGAGAGCGAGCGAGAGCGGTAATTCGGCGGATTCACCCCAAATCACCCCACAAATCGTGTCCGCAATTCGGATAGGTCGGGGTAGGTAGAGAAGAATTTGTATTGTTTGGAAACAAAAATACAAACAGAACACAACATTAGTGCTTTATGTTTTTTTTCTTTTTAAAATTTTTTCTTCAAATTATTAATTTGCTATTTTTCGTTCGAATCGTTTTGACTTGTCGAGAGAAATTTTACTTTATGCCCGACAAGGACCATCTCAAAAGTTCCTAGTATATATATATTTTAAACAAAAAATAAACGTGAAAGAAAACGTTCAGCTAGCTGCAAGAAACGAGTTCGATAAAATGAAAAATAAGTGAAAGTAAGGTTATGTACAGAAATAAACGTTTGTGTTATCGAATTTCATGATTCAATTCTTTTTCTTTTTTTTTTGTTGCCACACACGACCACTCATTTCGTGTTTGTCATCACAAACGAAACACAATCAGAGGAAATCAAAGAAACAGAGCCAGACATCGAGATTTTAAAATCGTACACATAATATTCACGAAGGAAGCAAAGAGAGAGTCAAAAAAAGATAGTAAAATAGTAAAAAAAAACGAGGCAAATTTATATAAGTTTATGCATCCATTTAGTAAGAGAGAAAACAAAATCGACACGTTTGATTACTTTCAGAATTTAATCATATACTTGCACATCGATGTTACAAATGTTCATGCAATCGAGGCATATATAATGTACTTTTCAAAATGTCTAGATTTAAGAATACGTCCTTCTGTCGCAAAAGACTCAGACCCTACTTTACTTAAGATACTGGGGAAAAGTGTGGTTTAAGTTTTTTCGTAATCAAGAAAACTTACTACCTGTTTTGCTGAGTCAATCTCTTAACGGCAATTTCTAATTACTATGACGAATCGAACAAAAATTGCTTTCACTCTATGTTATTTCGCAATTCGCACAGAACAGAAGAACCAAAATCAGGAAGAACGATGCCGAAAACAAAGGCGAGCGAGTGGCACAGAGCAACCAATCCAATCATACGAGACTTAATTTAATTTCAAAATAAAACGAACAAATAATGAGGTAAACGAAGTCATAATCATAAGTAAATAAGAAAGTTTGAGTGGTCCTTGCAGTACAAATGCAGTATACAAGTCACATTAGCGTCACCCAACAACACGAACAGTAATGAATTATACGTTGTCATTTTTATTATTTCTGATTGCATCAAATATTGAAATTGTACGAGCACGCATTTTTTTTCTATATACGTTGACATGTTACGATATTTTGAGTTAAACTTTGGCATAATATACACTGTGCTCTCCATCCGTTTAGTTTGCAGCCATCTCTTGTTTGCAAACAAGACCAATTTATCTATTTCTTTTTTCTTTTTAACTGGTAATGCAAGATAAGTTATTTCTGCTGCTTTTAGGTTAGAATTAGAGCGAAAAGATTACCTTGCTCGTTGCGAAGAGTAGTCCGACACCCTCCATGCACACTTGCAGTAAACCACCTTCTCCGGTGCTCATGTCTTGAACGGGAAATTCACCGCCGAGTTCCGGAGCACTTCCGGCAATCCCACCGCGTTCCATTGCGTCTTTTATACAGTAATAAAGTTGTTTACACTGGAACATACAAACATAGTATATAATTGAGGTTATGTTGGGTTTTATATAAAATACCTTCTTTGTATAATATTTATGTAGTTGGGTTTGTTGTCCGTTGCGTCTCCAAAGACACAATACTTTGTTTTTGGGGCTGTAGGTCATGTTGACAAGCCGTTCATACCACCATCGTTCTACGATGATGCCATTGGTACTCCTTAACACGAGACCATCATCACGAACTTCTAGGAACCTCAACTCGCCTCCACCATCAATTCCTTGATGTACTGTGAAGCTTTGACGGTGCAATAATCTCGATCCCAAGGGTTTCAAGTCAATGTCATTTCCATGCTTTAATTAATATAAATTAGTTGATATTTTGAGGTTAGTAATGTAACATTACCAAGTTATTAATCTGGTCCAATAGTAGATTGACTTCTTGACTGTAGACCAAACCAATGTGGCTTTTACCAAGCAGCCTCCGGATCTTTCTCTTTAACTCCGCTTTGTTTACTTTGAGCATTACCAAAATGGCGGTCAGGTTATACAACATGGTGCTTAGAAGTCGATCTTCGTCGTGTTCTAATCGCTTGCGTTCAGTTTCACTTAAAGCTTTGTAACGTTCCATCATTTCTCGAGGACCTTGATCCATTCCGATCATGTCACGCTCTTGTGAGACCGCATCGAGGAATGCATCCTCCCAGAATTGCATTTGGTCCCAGAGGGTTGACCTTTCTTTGCCAATTAATCCTTCAAACAAATAGGTCCTTTGAGAGTCTGGTGACGGTGTGTTTGCTGTGTTGACCATGTGACCCCCGTGATATCTGAATCCTGTGCTTAGTGATGACTTGCTCGACCAGACGCTGGAGGTTCTTTGTTTAGGAATTTTTGGAAACTAAAATAGATTAAAATTTGTTAAATAGAGGAAGTGATGAAGGTTTGAGACAATTAAACAACAATCAAAAGCAACATTAAGTAATAAATGACTGACCTGTAGTGTTTCGACCTCTGTGTCCGAGACGGTAGAGCGGAAGGAGGCTTGCGGCCCGCCACGGTTCAAGCCGCACGCGGGTCCGGTGGTAATCGACCCGCCCGGCGACAGGGTGCCGCCGGAACCATGCATCGTACCTTCGGCCTGTATGGCACACACACAACATTTATTGTCCAGGTAATCTTTCTTTCAAAAATATATACAAATATAATCCGCTAATCAGCACATTCAAAGATTGCCTGGAACCGCAAAAGAAAATTTAACCAAAATCTCTACTTACATCTGATTCAAACGAGGTAAGTTTACTGAGCAGCATGTTTTTCTTCTGATTGAGCATATCCTTGAACATTTCAGCTGTGGAATGATGCCCTTCGGGATCATCCTCAGCCCCAGATTGAAGTCGCACTTCGGGTGCTTCCGAATGTGATGACTTTCGTGAATCCCAGTCTAATTGAATTGATGATCGCGGAGATTGTGGCGACCGCGGACTGGAACTTTGTGTAGTCAATTGATCCATTACGGAACTCTCATTGAAATCCTTGGACCAGTAGTGTGTGTGGGATATCTCTTGCAATTGGAACGCTGATGCCATTCCGCCCAGTCCGTAATTACTATAGGTTACTTCGAGGCCGTGCGTCACGGCCTGCAGAGCCTTGAGCATCCCTTTCCACACCGCCTTCGGCACACACTGCAAGTAGCCATTCAATGCAAACAAGGTTTAATTACTGACATAATTGCGTGGGATGCAAACTACTTACCACGTCGTCAATGTGATCATCAGGCGAGATTTTCCTCTCGAGTGTTTTATTCAGTTTACTGACTACAAAGTTGCGATAAGATTCGTCCTCCATGAGCTTCTTCAAACGATTTAATTTCAGCCAACCTACGCCCTCGCCCTCGAGGATTTGATTGACCACATCTTTGAGAAACAATTGGTTTTCAGCGTTCGTAGTAGTGCGATCGATTGATTGCTTTCGCTGGAATTCATCGGAGCGTTTGCTGGGAGTGTGTTTAATCAAAGGACTCTTTTCAACCAATCCTTTGGGACCACGTGGGAACGGCCCAAACACGCCGGTTTTATTTGTTTCTTTTGCTTTCAATTGCATCTGTTGCGTTTGTTGTTGCGCCTGAGCTTGTTGAATTTGTTGCTGTTGTTGTTGTGCCTTTTTATTACCAAATATTCCAGAAAACATGCTCGTTGTTGAAGCAGCAATTCCATTGAGATCGGAGCTAATATTTGACAAGAAGTCTCTGCTTGTTCCAGCCAATAAACCTGAACTAGCCTGAACCAAAGATGTACTGGTGGTTGACGCTCGACGTTCATCAGCTTTATTAAACGAGTCGCCTCGGAGTAAACCTTTCTTTGATACTACTTCTTTTGCACTTTTGGTCAAATCTCCAATTGTAGATTTTCCAACGTATGTTAAGTCTTCTACTGTATTTTTAGACACTGCCGCTGCGGTTTTACTTGCTTCCAATGCAGTTTTTGAAGCTTCTTGTACAGATTTCGAAGCTTCCTCAACAGCTTTCTTGGTTTCTTTAGTGAATTTATCCAGTGGTGCAAAAATATGACTCTCTTCAGCTTCTGTTAGTTTTCCTTTGGCTTGTATTTTTAATTTATCCATTTGGGCCAGGAGACCATCTTGACTACTCTGACGAGTTTGTTCCTTAACTAATTCCTTGGCCTGTGAAGCAAATTGTTCGAAGAGTGAGTTTTGTGATGACTGCCGTGTGACACTGTGAGCTGATGAAGGAGCTGGGCTGCATTGTGGTGAGCCTGATGTACTGCTGAAACTTGATGTTCTGGCTAGAACATTACCAACGCTGGGTTGACGTTGCAACGGCACCGGACTGATCGGTGGTACTGGTGTTATTGATTTTCCTGAGCGAGTTTTTCGTGCATTTCTATTGTCAACATCACTATTTGGAGAGTCTGGTTTCATCCCAGCACTAACGATAGTTTTTGGAGTCGTCGTGGAATTGGAATCAGATTCGTTTTCTAAACTTCCACTTTCCTCACGTTCTTTAGAATCTTTTGTTTGGGCCTCTTGTTTTTTACCGAATTCAAACTCAGAATCACGATTGAATGAAGGCGATGATAAATCAGACTGGGTACTACTTGATGAGCTTTGTGCGGATCCAGGACGATCATCTGGTATCTCACCATCGGGATATTGCAACTGTGATGGTGGATGATATACCAAAAGAGGGTCCAAGTTACTAGACAATGACATATTTTGTGCTAACTTTCGAGACTCCGCATACGACGCTGAATAACCAGGTGATAGGTCAGAGGAAGCCATTTCAGACACAAAATCAGATAGTGATGAATAACTTGAGCTGGTACTATCAGCACCTTCGGAATCTGATCCGGATTCATCAGTAGGTTGATTCTCCATATTCTGTAAACTTCTCAATGCTCCATTTAAAGAACTTCCATCGTCCCAGACCACAAAATGAATCGGGTCTAATGTATGCAGATACCACTTGGGTTTGTCTCCGATCTGACCAGGATCTAGCACTCCCGTATGCACTCTCTGGAATGCAACGTTCGTTGGAGTCAACGACCATTCAGCAAGGAACTCAACCGCCTGCGTGCGCGCAAACCTATTTAGAAATTGTGACGCTCTCGGTCGTGACCGTAGGAAGCTATTGATCTGAAACGCAACCACTGGTCGTGGATATAAGCGCAGGGTTCGCGTGTGCTCCGAAAAGTTTGCGAGCAAGTTCTGCGAGTTGAAGAACTTTACCATCGCGACCCGGGTTGCGACGTCTACGGAATCAACATCATTGCCGTAGATAAATGGGTTGAAGGCAAGTGAACTGGTTGGAGGTGGAATGGGTGTTATCGACGAGCGTGGCGAAGCACTGGGCGGCGTTGGCGAGTTGCCAGTATGGCGTGTGATTGGTATCGTTGGAGGTGTGGGCGACATGTCAGGGGACTTCCTAGCAGAAGAAACACTAAACCCAAACCATTAAAATCATTAAAACTTTGCTCTAAGTTTGCTCTTACCTTAAAGTGTTCATCGACAAGGATTCACGCCTTGAAGGTTGTAATTGCTGTTGAGTGTTGGCCGATGGCGTTGACAAACCAGTAAGTGCCTATAATCATCATTATCATTTTATCAATCACAACCAACGCAGGGGATATTCATAGGGAAGCATTACAGCTGACTGAAAACACATGCAGTCTCATGCAAGATCAACACGAAGATCGAGAATACATTTGCGGGATTTATAATGAGATCGACCTTTAAAGGGTTTTATGGGTATCTTGGGGGCATTGAAAGGTTTCTTGTTTCAGTGTGCGTCTACGGCTGATCTTTACTTTGTGGAAACAACTTCTACGAGAGTACTTGTATTATACGTCTACTGCGAGCGCTTTCTATGTTTCTATGTTGTTTATATTACTGTGTATGTGTGTTTAAAGTGTTTTTAGTGTAATGCGTTCGTAGATAGTATTGAATTGGATATTTACGCCGCTGCCCGCCTGGTCCATGAGTTGCATGGCCTGAGAAAAAGGACAACAAACAGACAAATGTGAAAAGGCGAAAGACCAAAACGTGTATTGAATTGTAAAACATTGGCAATGCGATGAGAACAACAAACAAAGCTCAGAATAAATCAAATCGGCCCATCGGTTCCTAGAAACCTACCTGTTTCAGATGGTTCTTAAGAATGGTCCCTTCTGGTTCCGGCAACGGAGGTATTTCAGCCGGTGAAGTCAACTTGCATGAATCCAGATCCACCAACCAGATATCATCGGGAAGTCTAATTAAAATTATAAATTAAAATGTTTACATTTAACTGCTTTAGTTTCATCTCACTTGAAGTTCTTTTTGTACATCAGGAAACTCGCCGGTAATCCAATGACAAACGGCGTTGGTGCTAACAAAAGTTGTTCGGCGCAACTCATGCAGGTGGGTAACAGTGGAATCACAGGGAACATATACTCCAGGGGGTAGATCATTGTCACGAAGGCCATCACAGACATTGAGAGTGCGTTGTAGTCCCTTGACTGAAGCACCACTTTGTTCTCCAGTAGAATAAGCGTGAGGACCTTGAGGCATGTGTCCACTCCAAGCAGTTCCAAGGGTAAGTGTAAGGGGAAGTCAATTAAGGTGAACCTTGTATGATCGGGTAAAGCAAAAACCAATGAGTCGTAAACGCTGGGCGATAAAATTTCCATCGACACTCTGGAAATAAAGTTCAGACATTGTGTGAAAAAACAATAAAAAGATCGTTGCGTTACTTTGTCTTCCCCGGTATTGGCACTGGCGCGGATAGCAAACGTAGTATCCATGTCTCGATTTCTCTGACGTCATGCAGGACAATAGAGGGAGTCGCTTCTGTTGCCTGGCCGGTCAGGATACTCCACACGGTGTCTCTATAAGTTGAAGGTCACATCTTGATGTAATAAAACTGCAAACACACCCACACATTGTTGATGGGCTCACCTGCCAACCTGCTTTGATCCACCCACGCTTCGTGGGCTCGAACTTTCATTGCATGCGTCAATCAATTTCTTGAGGATGAATAAACACTCACGGAACGAGCTGAAGAACGGATGATGCGAAAGTATACAAAGCGATGTTAATGAATGATTACGAATGCGTTGGCGTTTCCTACTCGCACGAGGAGATGGAGTGTGACTACCACCACTTTCCGAATCATTACTGGGAGCTGTAACTCCCAATCTGGGAGGTTGTATTGTAGAATTCGGCACTTCAGAGTCGCGTCTACTCGGACAGTCTTTTTCCGAATCGCTGGGTCCCACATTACTGCTGCGATAATCACTGGAGAACGCTGAATCCGAACTTTTTTCCATACTCTTTCGCCAGGAGTCTCTTCGTAGAACAGAGGAACCTCGACGCGTGTTTTGGGCATTTGCGGGACCACGTTCAATTGGTCGATAGAAATTAACGCAGATGCCGAATCTAGTTCGGCCTGAATCTTTATCCGTCAGCATGAAGACAAACGATGACGGTTCTCGCAGAGCTGTTCGTCGAGGACCCACGGATGAGCAACCTTCCGGTTGGCAAAAATACACCATATCCAGGGGCATCGGAAAGTCTTTATGGTCATTGGTCGGGTAGCGCCTTAATAGTTCCGGCGACTATTTCAAAAAACATTTTTCCTCATCATCATCATCTTCTTCTTCTTGTTTTTATTTTATTTTTTACAAAAAAGTTTGTGTTTCACGCGAGTGTATTTAATTCTTACCTGTATAGATGGATTTGTGCTTGGTCGCACAGAATTCGCCGGGCGCACCCCGACGATGACCAAATAGTCAATCAGTCGGGGGCAGAGGAACTGCCGCTCGGCGTCCAGAGACATCTTGCACGATTGGGTCACCTGCTGTAGGTCATAGTAAATCCGCCGTAAAAATCGCCAGTGTTGTTCATAGTCGTCGCGCGATTACTGAAACAAACGAACAACGCAAAACACTGTAGCCCACATTTGCCCGCATTTCCACATTGATAACGCCGCGCACGCGAGTATTTACTAACTGTAGACAGTGTAGACATGTAGATTGTTTTATTAGCTGGCTAGCAGACATGATATAATTATGCTAGTAAATAATTTGCATTGGAAAAAAATAATAATGATTACAAAAACCGCAACCGACATTAATTACGTTGAAAAGTTTTATCCGATTATTTTTTCGCAAATACTTTCGCAACGTTGAATCAACATTTCGACCGTGATTGACGACTGTAATCACGGCGAAAGACTGTAATAACAGGGCTGTGGTTGCGTGCGCTGAATAAACTAACCGACAATGCTTTTTATCTCTTAATTTTGAGCGTTTTACGAGCAAACTCATGAAGACTTTGAACGCATAGGCGTAGGCGCGTTTTTTACTACATTGTCACCTTATAATCAACGTTCGCAAATTTTAATGTTGCAAATATGTAAGCTCAATGCGTGGCTGTGTGTTGGTGTAATTTTGTGTATTCGTAGATGAAGCTAACACACAGACGAGCCTTACGTTGCCCCAACCGATCGATAACGCGCGGCCCCTGCCTTTGCAGCGTGTCGAGTTGGCCTATATTTTTAGATTTTCCATTACGAGCACTTTTCTAACGCTTTTTAGGTATTGATTATTGCATTATCGAAGGGCTACAGCATATTAATAAACATAATTAAACGCAAAACTATCAAAACTCTTCAAAAACTCGCAAAAACCCCAAAATTATATTTGTAACTGTTTAAATTGATTGCACAATAAAATTATATTTGCGAATATTTTATTTACGGAATTTTAATGGAATTGTTTGTTAATTTATTTAAATATGGCACTTACCATTTTGTTGTTAAGTTCTTTACAGGACACGGCTCGAAAACGCCCGTATCCTTCTTGACAGCACTGATGTTCTGCGATTACTACCAGTTGTACGCGTAGCGCTGCCGCCCGCCGCCTCCACCACCTCAACGCCGCCGCCGTGCGGGACTCAAGTTCTTGATCGAAGGGTAACGGCCATGCGCCTGAGTGCTTTTAGTCCTAGACACAATTATTTTTGCTAATCATGTCTGTATATCTGTTCTTTTTTTAGTTTGGGAGTGTTAAAAGGCTTCGTTTATTATTTAATGCCATTATCATCGATAAAAACTTTTTTTAATTTAAAAACAATATACATTCTATTCTCTTATATAATACAATAAATTTTAGGAGAACTAAAATATAATAAAAACATTTTACATTGAAATTAAAGAAAACTTAAGTTAACTAATAAATAAAAATAAATAAAAAGTTTGGTGGGTGTATATTAAGTTGCCTATAGTAAATTCCAGTTTACTAAGCAATAGAGAAATTTAAAAACATTCTGATGCAATTCAAGTAAAATTTACTTAATATTCAATTGTCATTCACTATTTCAATCTGAAATCTAAAATTTATGACGTCATGGTGTTCATTAACATCACACTCATTAAAATTCCTCCTCCAAACTTGTTTTTTGGGTCATAATCACTTTGACTGCATGAGTTATTGTGTACCTGTGCTATAGTGTTTGATTACTTTACTTAAATCGCGCTAGTCGGTTGCGCGCAGTCAAATATAACCTCGCGAGACGTGACATGTGCTCATGCATTCGCGCCTGACGGATTGATAAATCGAAAAAGTGTATTTCTGTGTGATAAATCGCAGCGTTCGTAATCGGCTGATACCGATGTTGCTTTAGCGACTACCAAAAGATTATCGCACGAAGCATAAACGCGTTTATCTCATTATGTCGTAAGTCGTGTCGTCGTAGTCACGGACGACGATGCGCGACAGTCATTAAATGTGTAACGATTATTTATTAAATAATACGAAACAAACAGTGTAAATGAAAGTTGAAAAGTTCTTTTAGTTGGATGCCTGTCAAACTGAAGTAATTTTCTTTTCAATTGGAGTTTCCGTGGGCGTTTTAAATCAGTCGTGCGTAAAATTGAACAAGATTCATCATGACAGTATCTTCGTCTTCGAACAACACCAAGGATGGTGTTATTGATTTCACAGCTGGATTTTTAGGTAAGGATAATATTTTATAGAGATCGGGGAATAATTTCATTGGAAATAAGGTTAAAACTTAGTGTAAATGATTTTTATTTAAATTTCCATCTGATAGATCAAAAATTGAAAATTTGCAATTTTTATCATTTTCAGTCGCGATTTTAGACCTTTTACCCCATTAAATTAAATTATTTTAAATTTCCATCTTATAGAGAATTTTCCAATCTTTCATAATCTATAATTTTCTCGTTTCTATCTCTTTTAGTTTAAAAGATATTCACTGTCAAAAATCATGGAAATAAGTTTTCAAGCACAATTTTTTTTTATGAATTTAAATTTCATCTTTTAAATTTTTAATTTAACCATCTTATTTTATAGAGAATTGTGCGTAGATTAAGATGCTGAGATGCGTTCTTCTCTATCTTCTTTAGTTTACGAGATATTCGCAATTGAAACAAATCGTCAAAAATTGAAAAATTGCAATTTTTAGCACTTTTAATGGTGTTTTTTGACCTTTTACTGTAGGAAATATAATTATTTTATATTTTAATCTGATAGAGAATTTTCCTATCTTCCATAATCTGTAATTTTCTAGTTGCTATCTCTTTTAGTTTAGAAGATATATCGAAAATCGTGGAAATAAATGCAAATTTTTCTAATTAAATAGGTGGCGTTGCTTTGGTATACGTAGGACAACCCTTGGACACAATCAAAGTAAAAATGCAAACATTCCCAAAACTGTACACTAACATGTTTGGATGCTTCGTGCAAACCTTGAAACACGATGGCATTTATAAAGGTCTATATGCGGGCACAGTCCCCGCTCTGGTAGCAAACATCACCGAAAACTCCGTCCTCTTCATGTGCTACGGCATGTGCCAGAAGGTGATACAATACGCGACAAAAACAGACTCAATCGAGAACCTCAGCATCGTCAGTAACGGTCTAGCCGGCTGTCTTGCATCTTTCTTCTCATCCATAGCACTAACTCCAACCGAACTAATCAAGTGCAAACTGCAGGCGATGTACGAGATGCAAAAAATTGAAATCGCAAAAGGCAATGTCGTGCAAAGAATTGGACCGTTTGCATTAACCTGCGACATCTATCGTCGAGAGGGTACCAGAGGTTTGTTCAGAGGGTTAGTGCCAACACTAGCGCGTGAGATGCCAGGTTATTTCTTTTTCTTCGGCGGGTACGAAGGAATGCGCGTGTTGCTAGCCAAAGAGGGGCAGAATAAAGACGATATCGGTTTGGGTAAGACCATGGTAGCCGGTGCTGTGGGTGGGACAGTTTTCTGGATCAGTGTGTACCCAATAGACGTAATCAAGTCAAGAATTCAAGTGCAAGGATTGAGTATAGGTATGCATACGTTAGCAATGAAAATGCTCCGGACGGAAGGCATTGCATCATTATTCAGTGGTTTACTTCCGACTTTAGTCAGGACCGTACCTGCAACTGCCACATTATTCGCTACGTACGAATACAGCAAGAGATTTATGCACCAAATATTCTAGTTATTACTAATTACACCTATATATATAAAAAAAAGTTCACTAACTTATAATTTGCTCAAACATTCGAATTTTATTATTTTAGTTAATGTTTTTGTCTCGTGTGTTTTATTTGACTACAATAAATATTGAAAAAATACTGTGACATAAATATAAATAAGTTCTATTTGTATAATACTGTTTCTTCTTCATTAGTTTGTATTTATTTGATCGTGATCTACTTATATTCTAAATTTTCCAGGAACGAGATGAAACCGACCGCTGGATTTGCGTCATTCGCGTCCCGCGCAATTCGTCCTGGCAGCAAACTGTCGAAAAGTTTCGATCGGTTCGTGTGTTGCGCCTGCTTGGTGGACATGTAGTAGTCGTACAAATCATTGCGCTCTTTTTTGGTTAATCTACTAAGTAGATTATTTCGCCGGTGAGGATACTCCTCCCATTCGGATGTAGACCTGCAAATTCACACAGAGGCCTCTTAATTTGCAAGCACGACATGAATCTTCAAGTAATGTAATTATTAGTTTCAGACTTGGGGGAGTTTTCCATGTACATGGCTGTACTGTTACGTGAAACTTCGAGAGTGATCCACTTTTAACACCAATGTCTTACGTTTGCAAAATTTTGTGCAAAAGACATTTTTGTGTTAAAATTATTTATTTGTTCGTTTGGTTGCCTACATCATGCAAGGTTATGAAAAACAGATAATACTTGTTTACGATAATTTGTACTATGCATAAAAGCACGTAATAAAATTAATCGTTTTAGATGTCTGATGACACCAACGAATACAAAACACTTCGCAAACAACTGTTGCGATAGAAGAAAACGACGTCAAACACGCGATTGTTAATAATCGTGTTTAAAGCACGCTTGAAGTTGCTTCCCAAAAAGTAACACATTTTATTTTTAAGTGGAATATCAAGTTCCGTATGAAATCTGAAGTACTCAGTGTCATTCTGCATGATATATTAATAATTTTGCAATGTAATACTACTACCGCGTCTTTTTTCCTGCTGCGCTGTGCGGCGAAAGGATAACAACACTGTGAAGAATGATATTTCCGCTTTTTTTCGTTCACTTTCCACGCATTCATGACGCAATTCACTATGATAAGACCCGGATTTTATTACACAAAGGGTAAAGGGCGATAAAGAAGATCACGGCCTTGAAAAATATTGCACTAGCTTCTTATCTAACTTGGGCATACAAGTCTTGGGTCAAAATTTATTGGGGCTTCTTCTATCAGAATAAATATTGATCAAATGTGTCATAAAATAGTTTTAGCTATTATAGCGATGACAATGTTTATACCTGGGTATTTTCGATCGGATGAAATCGTCGAAGATCATGTCCAAATTTCGAATTTTTGGGACGCCTCGCTTCATCACGCTGCCTCGGCACATCAAATGCAGCGGATACTTCCTGGAAATAATAAAATAATAAAGTTGCTAGCGTAAATGAAATTGATTTGATTTGTCGAAATTGGACTTGGGATTTTATTGCAGCTTGCAACAACTTACATGCAACGATCTTTCAAGTCAACCTTCTCGCCGGCGGCGCATCCGTTCGTGACGATCAACAACAGCGCCGTAAAGAGTAATGTCGCGTGCCGGAAATGGCCAATACTGCTGATTGACAACGATTTTTTGCCAATTATTGTCATTCTGATAAACGGCTGCAAAGTAATGTGTTTAGTTAAAGTTTTATTTATACTTTTATATTATTTCTATGCTATTTGTGCTGCCTACCAACTAGGTTAACTTTGGTTATGTCAAAAACTTAATTTGACTGATGAAAAGTTTATTTAGTATTTGAATCAGGTTTATTTTGTTTAATTGTGACTACAATAGCCGGTTTCTTAAAATTATCTTCATACATAGATAAAATGGGTTGATTTTCATTAATTTCATTAAAATTTTAGAAGTACAGGACTGATTTGACCAATTTTTGTTTAAAAAGAAAGAAGATAGTTCCAAAACAACTATTTTTCTCAAACAAATTCTTTGTAATTTTTCATCAATAATTTTGGTAGATAAATATGATTCTGCAATTGAATGAACAAGCAAAAGTTTGATTAATGACAGACTAGTGCGGTTGGGTCGTTTGAACACTTGATGCGGCTTGATTTCTACCCCAGTGGTTAGCTAAGACAGTTGAAAAGCGAGAGTGATAATGATTTCAAAACGCGAATTGCTCATGCACGAAATCGCATCCACAACGTCCGCAACAATTCGTGGAAAATGTCGCGATGCGTCCGTATTTCACGCAAGATTTAACATCAGCTTGAAGCTCCGTCAGTGTGTTAATGGCGCCGGCGACCCTGATGACCAGAAATGTACGGGTCAACAATTCGCTTCCGTCCACCTCGTGAGCATTCAACACTTCCCGCAATCGAATCGTACACAGCTGACATCAACAAAACACGATTACGATTTAAATGACTCAACTCGATATCGCGCGTGACAATTTAATTACACTCCCACGCCTCGGCATCTCATCCAATGAAAATCCAATTATTTTCCATCTAATGGAAACCGGTTGGAATGCGCGACTTTATTGCGTTTTACCTTGATTTAATAAATATTTAACTACGCATATTCGAAGACCAAGTGAAAAGTGAAAGATTGAAAGAAAGAGTTGAAAATATTTACAAAGCACATTCTTGGCCGACAGACGCATTGATCGATGATTGATTGCAATCATTTATTCGTGGTGGGTATTTGCGTAAAACGGTTTATGTATTCCTTCCGGAATGCGTGACGTCTAATCACAATCTAAACACATTTTCATTCATCTGTCAATCCTGAATCGCATCAATAGATTCCATTGAGTGTTTAAGCTTTCATATTTGCCGAAAATAATCGAAGATTTGTTTGGAAATCGTAAAATCGTGTTTTATGCAACTTCATAAAATGATTACACTATTTGATTGGTTGGTAACAAATGTTATTTTATTACTATTATTATTGCTCTATTCAAATGCGAATTTTATATCAAATATTTTATGATTCAATTCGCAACTGTTTCCAACACGCAATAAAAACGTGAACTTTCGATACTGATGAAAGGTTAATAATTATAATTCAACTTGATCCAAAAGTTTTACCATGAAGTAGAACTATTGATGCGCACAAGTTGAATTTTCTTCTTCTTGTAATGCATTGTCAGATATTAAGTAAATAAATCAAATGTTGCATCATTCACAATCGTTTTGAACTGTGCTTTTAATGAATTTTAAATTTTTGTCTACTTTTGTTGTTATTGATTATTTTAAGTTATTTAGTGCTTAAAAAATATTTATCTACTTACTTTTAAATTCTTCGTAGTTGTATATTATTTTGTCTTGCGTGTGGTCGATGTTTTGACGTGCGAATGTTGTTCAACTGGTTCAACTTTAATCTCTTGCACCGTCCATGCTTGTTGCAAACATTCGTTTTCGTCAGGACAACTGACTGCGTGTTGCGTGAGGCGGCTCCTTTTAACAAAATTTCCAGTCTTGCGCTTTGCGCGGTCCCTCATCTCGGTTGGGACGAAATTCCGCCAAAATTTGTTGTCCTTCAATGCTGGTATACTGTCTGTTATGAATTGTTATTAAACGTACTAATACTAACATAATAAGTAAAATTTATCCTGCTTTAATAATTATTAGAAAAGCAATCGTTTTTTTTATTTGAATTATTTTTTATCTACTTTACTTAAAATGAAAAAAACTGTGAAGTTTTGTATGACTTTATCACACTCTACATTGATAAATTCAAAAAATACTGACTGTAAAAGTAGTTTTTTTGCTTTTAAAGTTTAAATTTAAACGTGCATTTAAAGACGACTTGGACATAAAAAGAAAAATTAATAATTACTTTGTGTTTATTTCTGGTCTTTTCCTTCCACTGGCGCAAATCAGTTTTAAAAGTGGTTCCCAGATGTCGCAAGCATCGCAATATTGTCTCAATTCAAACATTTTAAATTGCTAGAGTTTAAATAAAATCAATGGTACATATTATTTATTTATCACAAAAATGATTTATATTATTTGTATTACTATTGGTCTGTACATTATTTACTTCAATACTTTATTTTTATCTTACAGTTATAAGTGATTCATAGATGACGCTTCAAATGACAGCGTCATTTCATGCGGGACAGTCGCAGGCTGCCGCTCATTTTGTCTGCATTGTCACATTTCAGTAAAGTGGAATCAAATCAACATTCTCCCATTATTTTGCAAAGCTATTGACCTGTTTAAACGTAAGTATAGTGCTTAATATCCCTATAACTATGCGTAATAATTCAATTCGTTGAGAATGATATATTTTGTTTAATTTCCTTCACTGTGTGCATTCGTTATTTGGAATCAACTTGTGGTATTGAAAAATTGAAATTCTGATTAGATGCCGACTATTAAATTGCAATCCTCCGACGGAGAGAACTTTGAGGTTGACGTCGAGATTGCCAAGTGCTCTGTCACCATTAAAACCATGCTGGAAGATCTTGGAATGGATGAGGATGAAGATGAGGCAGTTCCATTGCCAAATGTTAACTCCGCCATCCTCAAGAAGGTCATCCAGTGGGCTACATACCACAAGGATGACCCACCACCACCAGAGGATGATGAGAACAAAGAAAAACGCACTGATGACATCTCCTCCTGGGATGCTGACTTTCTTAAAGTTGACCAGGGCACACTTTTTGAGCTCATCTTAGCTGCTAACTATTTGGACATCAAGGGCTTACTTGATGTGACTTGCAAAACTGTTGCTAATATGATTAAAGGCAAGACCCCAGAAGAGATTAGGAAAACTTTCAATATCAAGAACGATTTCACTGCCTCCGAAGAGGAGCAGGTGAAGAAGGAGAATGAATGGTGTGAGGAGAAATAGATCAAATTATACACGTTTTTATTTTCTATTTTAATACTGTGTATTATGGATGTGACAGTGTGGTAGGCTTTTATTTTATTTTTCATTAGGTGATTGAGTATTGAATAAATTTACACTGGAAATTATTGTAAATTCAAAGCAGCCGTCAAGATTTTACATATTTTATTTGAGCCTAATTAATATTTCTTTTTTGTCGATTTTAGTCAAGTTCAATCAATATAATAATAAATACAGCTAGTCCCAGGCTAGTTTGACTAAAAATAATTTTCCCCAGGAACTATTGTGTTATTCGTACGTATGTTTCTCATTGTTTCGGACATGGAGAATGAGTTTATATTAACCTGATAAACATTTAAATTATGTGGAATATACGAGGGCAGAACGCTAAAACACACAATTTGTATTTGTTATACGGAAAATAACTGAAATGAGTACTGGGAATGTTGGGTTGCCTACGCTAAAAAAAAGTGAAAATTTCCTTTTTACAAATAACTGCTTGAAAGATAAGATAAGATAAAATAATATCGATCTTTTGAACTTTCTTAATCGTTATTAAAAGTTCGGGCATTCGCAGGTAGTTATTTGATCATTAAAACTTAAATCTTTGATTTTATTTTTGGGACGCCGATTGAAGTAAGCAGGTAATATTTATTCTTTATTATAACTCAATACTATTTAGTAAAGATGCCTAATAACCAATAGATATGGAACCCTATGTAAAAGAATTCAATTTAATGAACCATTCAAATTTGAAGCAAGAACACTTGTTCTGTTCAAAATGTACAAAAGTATTCATCACTGAAATATATACCATAGTATGTGAAGATGAGGCTGAAAATGAGAACTACTGTGAACCATGCTATAAGTCTGAAGATCTGGAGAGTAAAGGTTTAATGGTTGTGAATCACTTTCTTAAGAAATATTTACGTACCGCTCGATTTCCGTGCATATTTGAGCAATGCAACTTTACTGATGGTTATTCTATGTTTCAAAAGCATGTGCCAATTTGTGTGTTTGGACCTACACCACCAGTTAATGTTACTTGTCCAATGGATAAAGAGCTGTTTCATGATGTTGCTTTATTTTTGGAACATTTGTCTGGTCATGAGAATGTTAAAAAAATAGTACTTGATTCATTAAGAATTACAATTGAATTGGATCTTGAAGAGAAACTGGATCACATCATTGTAGCTGATTACAAAAATCACTATTTTCTTGTTTTCATCAAATTTCTAGATGAAACAGTTTCAATCAAGGTGGGAAAACATTTGTTTGGCCCGAATGCGGAAAGTATGCCATTTACTATTATTTATCAATTTGAAAACATTGAAATGCGCCTGGATGGAATTCAATATCCAATTGAAACCTTAATCAACAGTGGAGAAAATGTTGATGGTTTATTGCTTAGTACCTCATTACTTCACAAAAATACCGAAATCAGTATGTATATTGCCAATTATGAAATGGTAAAGAATACATTTGCTAGTTGTCTCGTATGCTTCAAACTTTTATTGTCTGATGTTAGGCAATGCAAGAATGCGCATTTTGTTTGTGTTACATGTGCCTCTGAAACAAGGAAATAGTGTTCAGTTTGTAGAGGAGAGATGATTGATCTAATAATCAACTTGAAACGCATATTACCAGATTATGAATTCCCATGCGAGAATTTTGATGATGGGTGTGCAGAACTTGTAAAGCCAAGTGATATGCATAAGCATAACATGGTGTGTGCTTTCAGAAGAATTGAATGCTCAGTGTGCTGGAAGGAATATAGAGCACATAATTTTTGTGCTCATGTAAGAGATAAACACGAGAAAATTCGGAACAACTTTGCAGATTTGGGTATTTATTGTTATGAAATATTATTCCGATCAAATATTTTTATATTGACTATATCGAACTTTAGAACATTCCCGTATAAGTCTCTAAAACTTAATGAAATAACTTTGCCTGAGGGATGGGGTGCGGTTTGGTATAAAATAGAGTTGCTTAAAGATTCCAAATGTAACCAAGAACTTCTTTGTAAATCTAACGTTGAGTGTTTTTGCTGTAGCAATTTTGACGCGGTGTCTATCGCAATCTTTCGCAAATGAAAACTTTCAAGTTTTTACCGCGTAGGTACTATTTTTGTATCCTAACTTCATTTTCTTATAATCTTTATTTTATCATCACAAATAATTATCATTATTACTATTAACGTTCTTTGTTTCTATTATTCTATTTTTAGTATATAATTCACAGTATGAATTTAGATTTGTCGATTTTAGGTGTTTTAATTGTATTTTCTCTTCAATATTTTGTTAAACAAAAGAAATTTATTCGATAAAATAAAATAACTATAAAAAAGCAAGTTGTCATGTACACTACATAATTCCATGCTGCTTATTTCGCTTAAACCGAAGGCCCGGAATGCCAAGCTTTGCGCACAAAGTGTGTGCACATCCAAAGTCGTCTCTCGAGCATTGTGCAGCCCCTACAATTGCACCGTAAACCATTGCTGCATAAATACACAGAACAGCTATCACGAATACTATCAGGCTGTATAGAATTAGACCGGACTTTCGTGTTTGGCTGCATCTGTAAGTTATAAAAACAAAAGTTTAAATATAATTTTAATTAATAAGAGTTTCATATAATTCTATTCTAATTTAAAATTGTGATTCCTGCGTAGCAACGACTCCGTGGCGCAACGGTAGCGCGTCTGACTCCAGATCAGAAGGTTGCGTGTTCAAATCACGTCGGGGTCACAGCTGTGCCTAGCTTTTTGTTTATTGTGTATCAAAAAAGGTAAAGTTTAAAACTATTTGATAAATATAACAAATTTTAAATTCTGCGCTGATTTAAAATTACCTTTGTGTATTCTTTACTATGCGGTCAAATTTACAATTGCATTTTCCTATTTGTGTTTGTACCAAGTTAACGACAGTCTGGCGATGCCTTCGAATGTCAATTTTATGTTGAGCAGGGATCTTGATTACTGGTGCGGTGCGGTGGCAGTGTAAATTCAATTGTTCTGTTATGTGCTTCTTGGCTTTCCAATCCATTTAATTTGGACCTTTGTGTTCATTTGAACAGAATGATTTGATAATACGTATAAATGCAAGTATTAGGATGTCAAGATGACAATTTCATGTTAAGGTCAGAATAATATTAGTGATTTGGGGCGGAAATATGATGAAATTTGCAGTTATTAGGTTATACAAGTAATATAATTTTATTTGCAAGAAATTCTTTGATTTATACTTCAATTTTGTAGTGAGTTTAATTTTTCAAACGCTAAGTGTATAATGGGTTGCCTATGATAACATTCTATAACTTTACATATTTCCATTGAATAAGCATTGAGCATTTTCGGAAAATTAGCGCAGTATTTGCGAATATTTCGAATAGCAATTGTTCATTTTGTAGGTGCCTGTACAGATGCCTTTGATTAGATAAATGATTAGATAAGATTAGCTTGTAATAAATAACAATATCAAACTTTAACTATATTCACAACAATAAATTTTGTTATTGAGTGTGTATCGCTAACTTCTTACATTGAATACTTATTTATTACTTGTAAGACAAAAATACTGCCACAATGGTAAAAACGGTTATTGAAGATATAAACCAGAAACTAGAAGATAACCGAAAAGAGAAAGAGAAGTTAGTTGGTGTCACAAAAAGCAAACTTGCGGAAGATGGAAAAGCGCAGGCGCGTCAAAAACAAGTAGAAATGGCTCAACGTATTAAACAGCAGGAAAAACTACATTTACGGTAATAATTGTAATTGCAAAAAGGCAAACAAAGAATAAAGTATTAAATTTTTATAACTTGTCGTTGTAAACTTAAAGAAATTAATTTACGTATATGTTTAAACATGGTATTTTAAATTGATTGACAACTAACAAAACTGTTACCTGGCGTTTCCGGATTTTGAAAGTTTTTTTTTATTGCATAAAATATTGCTCAATCTTTCGTCTACAACATCCACACGCACCAACCACGCATCGATGATGATAATTTAAATCGAAAAGCAATAAAATCGTTCAAGTCAACCTTTGGCATCCATTAGGAAGTCGTAAAATATGAACACTAAACATCGTCAATCGTTTAAGCACTCTATTCGTTGAGTTTCCCTTTTCATTATACATAATAAATAATTCAGATTCTGAAATAAAACTTTTCAACTCTTCACCTTGATTAACATTTTTTCTCAAACTTTCGTTTCATTTCAGATAACAAAATCACAATATAAAGATTTTATTCAATTACGAAAATCCAATACCAATCAGAAATCCGCCAATTACTCCCGACGTTAAGTTTGGCTGCTCCAACAGGAAAGAATGCAGCTTTCTGAAGAATCTTGCCATAATAGGTCTTATACCCTGGGATCTGGGCTCGCTAGTTGTGGTGCGATGCACATCATCGGCGCTGAGGGCGCGCAGCAGGTTGAATTTGATGTAGTCGTTCTGTCCAGCTAGCTGCAGGACGATCACGCCCGCACCGAAGCAGATGCACACGTACTTGCCGGTCTTGGTGAGCAGGTAGCCGCTGAGGAAGCCTACAGCAGCACCGAAAAGCAATTGCTGCCGGTCTGACATGTTGCGAATGTCACGCATCACTTTTGCGACGATTTGCGTATCGCAGTCGTCGCCGCCTCTCGCATTACGAAAAGCATGTACATTTGCGTCGTCCATTTCGCAAGGCTTCTCTGGCATGTAATCAACCAGAACGTATTTTGTGTTGCTGTTCATTGATCACAATTTATCACAAGAAATTTAAATGCTAAACGGAAATTTTGATGTTTGAACTGCTAAACCCGGTGACATCTGAGTGCCGCCATTGTTTAACTGGCAGCGCCACCTTTTGGCGCTTTTTAAGCAACTCATACAAATACATACTGTGATCAAAAAGTTCAGTGGTGAATGAAGACCCAGATTCATACTCAGGTTAAAATTTCTACATTGTTTTACTTAATTTAATAATCACGTTTTTATCCTTTATTTAACACCCTTTAAATCAACTTTTAAAATTTTTGAATAGTTATTCTCCTATTTGATTCTGAGACAAATCCAACAAATCATAAATCATCAAAATCTGTTTACGGGTTCTCAAGTTATAAAAGCTGTAACTAACCCAAGTTTGTTTTATACTGGTATATACACTATACAGAATATATGATTGAAGTCACCCCTACTCAATCCTTACATAATCTAATATCATGCAGAGTGTTCGATATTCGAATAATTGCAAAGTTAATTACATACACACAGTCTTGGCAACTGTTGCGCGCCGAGTGAGAGTGCAAATCATAATCATACGCCCACATAACACTTTTATTAGCCGCGAGCGGCGGCTGATCTTTCCAGATGCACCGACAAGTGTGCCATTTTCGCATTATTAGAATGATTAGAAATCCACATGAAATGAATCTTCGATTTCATCATCTCATACATGTTTTAACAAACATACCAACACTTAATGCTAACACTATCCAATAATATGTTGTTTGCAAGCCCACACATTTATATATCCAAAAATATTGCTGAACTATGGATGTGTTACTTCCTTTTTGAAAAAAATTAAGGTGCGTGCGTGGATATTTCTGTTAACATGATACACGCATTTGTATTTCGTCATCTGCAACGCCTCGCATAAAATCCAATCATTAATCAGTGTTTAATTGCAATGACATTAGGTAATTATTTATTATGAGCATATTTTAATATATAAAGTAGCCTATTTAATTACTCTTTAGATTCTGGTTAACATTATACAAAGAAATGTTTTCGGTAAAACTTTTCATTTTTATTTACTGACATGTCAAATGCTAATAGCGCCACCTAGGTTTATCATATACTAGCGACCTGCCCCGGCTTCGCACGGAAGTAAAAAACCGCATCAAAATCCGTTGCGTAGTTTCAATGATTTAAGCATACAAAGAGACAGACAGAGAAAGCGACTTTCCTTCTCCAAACAAAAACATCAACCGGTCAACTTCAACCCACACATACACACATACACACGTCTATGCTTGGAGGGGGAAGCTACGAAGCATCGCACAAAGAGCAGACGGGAATAATCGAAAACTTTGTATTTACGACATCACATTAGAAACCTCAAAAATAACAGTACTTCTCCACTATTTAATGGATGTTATTATACATACAAACCTTCCTCTTGAATCACTCTATCTATTAAAAAAAACGGCATCAAAATCCGTTGCGTAGTTTCAAATATTTAAGCGAACAAAGGGACCGGAAAAAAAAGCGACTTTACTTTATACTATGTAGTGATGATAACTATAACGATGATTAACTTATCATCTTCACTTTTATTCCTTGTTTTAGGCCCTGAAAGTTTTATTTTTATGTCTAAATGTAGTCTATTTGCTTTTCCTTGGACAAAAATGTATCTACACCAAAATGTATTAAAAATTTTTCGGTGGTTTTTGCGTGAAAGCGTCACAAACATTCGGATTTCCAATATTTTAATAAAAATAAAAATTTCTGTAAATTGCAACTGCGCATTTACGCAATTTAAGTCCTAAGCATTAATGAATAAGTTAGCTTAATGCCAACTACTTGTAATTTCATTATATTGTACATTATACATCAATAAATGTAAATTCTTGTTTTCCACGCAGTTTGAAGCAGTTGAAAACTAAAGAAGAATTTCTCGTGATTCTTGCATAACAGATATTTGCAGTCTGAATGTTTAAAAACATGTTACATGCTGAATATTGAATTCTTTCAAGTGTAATGTAATGTAATGCTTCTTGTAACAGTCGAAATGTAATCCACACGCCGCACACGCAATAATGATGGAGTCGATAATGTCATATTCGTGATTGGAAGCATTTTCCACGCTAGTTTTAATCGCGGTGCCAGTATTTATACATATAATACTTATATGCAAGTAAGTGCGTGATTAGTGTATTAAAATTATGCACTTATCTAGAAGCTAGACTTGCATTAGACAAAATGCAATATTTAATTGGATTTAGTTAACTTAAATACTTAAATACTTATGAACTAATTAATTTTTTACTCTCACTTTATTTAATTTCAAGTTTCAGGAAAAAGTTTAAAATTACAATTAAAAAAAATTATTTGCATCCATAGAAATTCATTTCTACAATTTGTATTCATAATTTCCAAATCTATTAGGGAATCTAATTAAGCGTTTTAGGTTAGGTTGATGAATTTGAGCATATTTGGTTATGTTTAGTAACAAGTCAAAAAAGTTGACATCTGCTTTCTCGTATAAACATATTTCTACACTGATAAATACATACACTTTACAGTTTATAAACTTTACGATGATTACAATGCATTGGTGATATCTTACAATTTGTAGTTATTTCACACCCACGTCCACACAGCGCAGCGCAAAATGGGCACTTCTATTAATGGCGTTGCGGAAATTCAACCGAGCAAAATCAATTATGTACAGATATAAATTATTACCTTGTTTATTTTTGAGATTATTTCTTCTTGTTACATACTAAACCGTTCAACACATTAGATATTTTATACAAAAGACTTTGGAATCATGTTATTATTCGAAAAGTAAAAGCAGTTGTCACCGAAAATAATTTTTTATATAATTACTTTTTAATGTGACCAAATAATAATATAATTAATTGCTGTAAAATTGGGCTTGTAATTAATTTAATTATGCTTTCAAGAAAGCAAATAAGGAAAACAATAAATACAAATCAAATATGCTACGAACAATTACAGACGGTTTAATTAAACGTCAAATATAAAGAATAAAATTATAAATGCTCAGGAAAAGAATTATTTTGGCGTCAGGCCATACGTTCCGCGAAAGGCGGTCAATTATTTACACGCTTAATATAAATAAAACAATAAAAACATAAATTTTATAAATTTACATTATATTTCGTTTAAAATATATTAACAGTATTTAAATTATGTTGTGATGCAAATGGAAATCATCAAAATTGATGATTAAAATGAATGAATGAAAATTTAGCAATTTTTCATATTCTGTATCATGTAATACCCTCTAGTGGCTGTTTTGGAAAGTAACTTAACCCAAAATCTTAATTTTAAAAGTTTTGGACAAGAATAAAATACCAAAACGATTAAAAACATTCCAATTACTAATTTTAGTTCGACATTTATTTATTACAGAACCATAACAATATATAAATATTGTATATCTTGAAATATTTGATAAATACCGAATAAATACATAGAATTCGTCCATTTGGACTGAAATAGGAAGGCATCCATGCATGAAGACACTCTCGATGCCACCAATATTCCAGTGTTGGTAAGTAAGTAAGCACAATTGTGTGTTGTGTTTGGCGGTGCGTTCCATACCTCGTTGAGATTGTGTGTGTGTATAGCATGCACGCCGTTTCTCTTTCTACCTTTCCTGCCCTACCTGTCCGTGCGTCCATCCTACCGTTGCGCGATCGCGAGCAGCGCGCCGCGCAAAGTCGTCTGCTCTTCAGCTGGTTTAGTGTTGCTGCCATTACTCGCCGGAACGGCACGTTGACGCTACATTCGCTAAATTACGCCTCACACAATCAGAACAACATAAACATAAACATAACTAACGTTGAGTCTTAACCCTCAAAAGTGACTTGTTGGATTTAAGTGACAAAGTGACTTAAAGATAGAAAGTGATTGGACACAACGTGTTATATATTGATTAAACTAAACACCCTCGTGTTTATCAGAAAGGGTGTGCGTAAACTATGATGCTTCACCGCATTGAAGACATGTTTCGTCTGTAGTGTGGTTTGGAGTGCAATCAATCCAGAGTCGGATATCATTGGCTTACAGTCAACGTACTTACAACAATAAAGCAAAGTAAGTTGTTAATTCATGTAATAATTGTAGGCGTGCGCGCATTTATTAAATTATTGCTTTATATTTCATAAAATCAGAGTATATAGAATCAGGTTATTTGCATAATAGCTATAAAAAGGTGTGAAAACAGACAATAAATTAAAAATTATAAAATCATATTACACGAAACTGCAATTTTTATTTTATTTCAGAAATATTGAATATATTATTTACTAAAATTTGCGGTAATTTTTTAAATTAATTTCAATGCCATGTCCAAGCGTTTTGTAAGATTTTATTGTTTTGTATATTATTACAACACTCAGTATATAATTGTTTTGCAATGATACGCAACCCAATACACACACACTTGATGAAACAATGCAAAAGCAAATCGTGCGTTTTGTTTGTAAAAATCATAAAAATATTTGCTAATTGAATTAATTAATACGTTATGCAAATGTTTCTGTTCTACATTCAAGTGCAATACTTCGTATGTAGAAAATATTTTTTATTATAAAATATATTAATAAATATTGAATGGCTAAGTTGCTTGCTGGTTGGCGAACAAAAGGAAGGAGCAGCGGACGTTGTTTGTTAATTTCGTCTCGGTCATCTTGTGCTATTGATTCTTGAGTAGTTGAACTGACTTATCTCGACTTGATTCTTCGGCGCGGCTTCAACTTCTTTCACTTGACTCGCCGCGCGCACTTGTTTCTCCCGATGCGAATGGCCATGAAACGCTTTTTGTGTGTGTACGATCGCTCGTCTTCGGATATTCTGCGCTTCAGCGCTGCCTTTTGTAGAGTCATTCATTTTTCATCGCGGCGTTTTTAATTTTCTACAATGCGCGCACGCTGCGCACGCAATTATGCCACTTTTTGCCATTTCCAAATCGGCATCAATTGAGCGCGATGAGTAGGTACATACAAAAAGCGATTGAAACTAATTTACCAACAAACTAACTTACAATCAACAAGGAAAAAACAGTTCTCATACGGTTTTCTTTAGTTAATATAAAATATAATATTAGTAGGTATTTTGGTAGTTATTTAAAAACGGACTGTAAAATTAACCGTTATGCCTATGAATACTCAATTTTAGCAAATAATACAGCGTATTTTCGGCACAACCGTAAATTTGTTATGGTTTTAAAGTAATTGTAACAGAATAATCATCGAATGTAATTTTTATATTCATAAACTAGATTTTGCTCAAAGATTTTATGAATTAATTACTTGGTTGTTTCTTGGACTGATTTTGTGCCGATTCCGCCAAGAAAAAGTCATATTTGTTTAGATAATGTAACTGAAACAATGATTTAGTTTTAATATCAACTTTTATGATTTTTATTTTAAAATGTTTAAGTTATATTTTTGCGAGAAAAGAGTAAAGAACCACATTTTGAATTTTTTAATAAGTTTTCTGCAAAATTGATTTCCGATTGCATTCTCTTTAACGGATATGAACAGAAACCTTAAAAAGATTTAAATATCAAATTTAGTCGCTGGAAGTATCACAGTATCACATTAGAATTTTGTTTAAAATTTTGCGTAAGTCAACTTTGTGCGTAACTTTCTTTCGGAAACTTTCCATCACTAAAATATTCCATAAATTGTTTCATTGTCAAGTTTATTACAATTTTAATTGCACCCAAGTGCCTTAAGTCAATTGTTATAGCCGTCACAGTGGTATACTTTTTTGTTCGTTAGCTGATTGCGGCTCGTTTATGGTTTTATTCGTTCGAATAGGAAAATAATTGCAGAAATAAGCATTTCCTTCGCGTATGCGCCGTTAGATTTGCTTCATTTCGCATCGTTTTACTGGAATCTTGATATTTTATGGTAATTTCACACGTAGCCAAAGCCCCGCAGCAATATGCAAAAGTTGTCGCCGACGAAGATCTAGAAGCGGAGAAAAAGAATTGGAACACTTTCAGTGCGCGCTCTTTTTCTCTTTTGACTCTCGACGAGCGTAGAACACAGTGTCGCCAACAGAATCAGTTAACACTTTATAATATTTTCTAATGATCAAATCATTAAAAAAAACAACATCGTAGAAATTTCTTTAGTTTTTTGTTTGCTTTAATAAAAAATATTTTAATAACTTTTATAAACACACTGTAGGTAGATCAGCAAGAATCTAGATTTATTATTGACAGTTTGTAAAAAATAGGCGACGCAAAAAAATTTGTATCCGCGAGCGAATTCCAAACGCAAAACCTGCCAATAGGCAATGAACGTGAAAACGTTGAAAAGCAATCAGCGGGCATTTGCGGTTTGAATCAACGTAGGAATCGGATTCGCGCTGCTTCACTTACAACACTCTCTTACGAGCACAGCGGCGGCATTTTATCAATTGAAAGCAGTGTTTCTGATTGCCACATCGAAATAAACTATTCTTCTGCGCTACAGTTTGAATTGTTATTGCTGAATAGAGGAGTAACCTGCTAGATACAAGCTACAATTCTGCAAAACCACCAAAAAGACCAAAAATTTCGTGTTTTACAAATCGGTTTAGTTGTTACTATCGAAACTGTTGTACCAAGAAATCATTTTGACTTGTGCGTTGCACACATCATTGAACATCACCAACTGATTGATTCAAAAACATTTTGCTTTCACTTCTTTTACATTTTACGTAAATTTCCTATAAAAAATAGTAATTTATGCTTTAATATTTATTACGAGTTCACGAGTTGTTCAAAAATTAAAATACAAAACTGGTAGACTGATAGAAGTTCATATTTTCAACACTGCATTTGATTCTTATGAATATTGTTCAAGGTAGTTTGGAGTAATGACTTCAAATATTTGCAACTTATCGAAAATTGCACACGCCATTGCTCTTATCAGTGAATGTTTTAAATCCTAGTTGTATTTATATTTTCATGGCAAACCTGAACGATAACCGCTAGTAGTTGAGTAGTTAAAACCGTAATTTACATTTGACGGTCGTGAACTCATTGCCATGCGCAACAGTTTGGGCGAAATTATCAACCGTGACTTCATCACATTGTGCCAAAGCGTAATTTAACGTATGAATGACTCAAAAACGAAATGATAAAAAAGTGTCTACAAAAAACTACAATTTTTGATGATCATACGTGAATTTAAACTTTTTTTTGTTGTTATTGCGATATTTTTGGTTTCTATGTCGGAAATTACGTGTTTAAATGTGATACCTGGTCTGTTTTAAATCACAAACACTTTGGTTCCTTTATTTTTTAAAATTTTATTTGGCAGAATATTAATTTCTTTATCTGACAGCAAAAGTCTTCCATTTAATTTATGAAATGACAAAAAACAGGTTAAAATATTGCATTATAAAGACGTTAGTGTTTCAAGCTGTTGGAAATTATTATAAACTGTTGTAAATTATTGTAAATTGTTGTAAACTCATTGTAGAATAAAAAACAGGCTTCCTCTTTGTGATATATCGCGAGTCGCAAAATCTTGATAACGCCAAACAGCAACAAAAACAACAAAATAACATTTCCTCCGACTCAACTACCATAGTAAGGTTTCTAGTTTATTACGCCGGTGTGAGCTATTAGTTTGTTGTGTTGTCGAGGCGTTAACGTGTTTGTTGTTCACGGTTTTGCGACGAATTGGGTAAACAGTCCACCGGCGGTAGATTCGCTCGCGTTTATGCGCTAATTATTTTCTCCGCGGTATAATATGATAATCACAGCAACAAAACAGAAAAAGAAAACCGATTTTGATGTTTTAATTGGTGCATTCGAATGGCGTCTTTAATTGGGATTTTTCTAGATTGGCCATTTTTCAATCTATAAATCATTCGAGACTGTGAAAAGAAATTAGAAATTACCAGTAAAACCGGCACGAGACAAACCGTATGTGCGCATTTGTGTTGACATTCAGTCGCCTCGGACACATTAATGAATGACACACATACCTCTCGATTGCAAATGCTTTCTTCTTGTGCACTTGCATGCGACATCTTGCGTTCTTGACCAGCGCTATTAGGTCTCGGCGTTTTGCTTCCTCAGTTCCGAGAATAGGAGTGATCATTGAATCATATACTCAACTCATAAAGTTGTTATTAGTATAGATGAGTTTCTGAATGAATCAGGCACGATTTAAAACACTTTGTATTAACGATGATATCAATTGTTTGAGCCTGGTTAGGCTCGTGCGTAATAAAACAATGATTGCATTGGAAGCTGCAGTGATGAATGATCATTACCGATCTTTGAACCAGGTATTGTTTTTGCATTACCTGGACTTTCCAATCGTTAAAGTATTATGTGTTTTTAATTACTCATTTGTATTTTTTAAACTAAAATATATACCATATTTGCATTTGACTGCAATTTCATTCGCACAGATTATCATAAAATTGGCTAATTAATTTTTTACTTTTTGGACTGTATATGTGCAGACTCCGTGAATAAATTTTTCAAAATTTTACAAAATTTCGAACAGTTCGAACTGTTTGTATGACAAAATAAAATTATTGTGTTTTTGAAGTGAAAACTTCTTTAGAATCGTTGTGATTTCGAAATTAATGAAACGACACTAAAAAAGACATAAATATTCTCTTAAATTTACAATTTAACTAGCTTATTTGATACAGAATTGTCCATATATTAAGACGCTGCGATCAGATCTTAATTATCTCTTTTAGTTTACGAGATATACGCGTTTGAAGAAAATGGACAAAAATTGAAAAATGTCACTTTTTAGCACTTATAGTCGCGTTTTTCAACCTTTTACTATAGGAAATATAATTATTTTATATCTTTATCTGATAGAGAATTTTTCAATCTTTCATAATCAGCAATTCGTTGGTTGCCATCGCTTTTATTTTAAGAGATATTAATTATCAAAAATCGTCGAAAAAAAGTATCAAGCACCCCCCCTTGGCAATTTTTTCTTAAGAGTTAAAATTTCATCTCTCAGATTTCCATTTTAACTATCCTATCTGATAGAGAATAGTCCGTAGATTAAGACGCTGCGATCAGATCTTAATTATCTCTTTTAGTTTACGAGATATAC